AAATGACTATCATTGATTTGTTTATTGTGTGTTTTCAGCCTGCTAATGATTGGAGCGTGGCCCCGCCCTCCGAGCCACAGCAGAATGGAGCCGCCGTCACCCCACAGTTGTCAGACGTGACAGCCAAACCCCAGGATGACAGCCGTCAGTGAAACAAACCTTTATGTTATCGGTCACATTTTAAAGGGTCATTCCACTGAGTTTACACATGAAAGTCAGTTTACCTGTCCTGAGGGGCGCTGTGCAGCCTGTGAACACAGTTTTACAATGTGTTTGTGCTTCTATAGGGAGCTCCTTAAGTCTGAGAAAATAACCATGGTGATCTCACAGTGATGTCATCAGGGTTATCTTGGCCAGGCATCAGAAAGGCTGCGTTATAAACTGAAAGTGTTGAGTTTGAAACATGATTAGATAGGTAGGGTCTAATGATGAGGCGCTGTAGAGGTGCACTATGGGAAATTTAGGATTCAGCATTTTAGTAGCTTGACTCATACCAGGGACCAACAGACATAAATATGTGCTAGTTCAATGTGTTCATTATGTCTTTAGTTTCTGATAATGACTTTAGTTGCTCTTTTATCTCAGACATGTTGGGATGTCGCATACCTTGACATGTGCCTTCCTCAGAAGTGTCACTTGGTGGTGGTTGTGATGCGTCTTTATCAGCTGATCTGGAACGGACAGCAGGTGGCGTGACACCTCCCTAATATCGGCTGATTGACAGATCAGCTGATAAAGACGCGTCACAACCGCCACCAAGTGACACCTCTGAGGAAGAAACATGTCAATGTATGTAACATCCTAACATGTCTGAGATAAAAGAACAACTAAAGTCATAAATATGTGCTGCTTTAAACTGGACCTCTAGTCTTTGTGTTAGGAAGATTCTGCTGTAGATAATCAGGTGCATCACATCTGTATTTGGTTAAAACAGAAATATCAGATGATTAATCTCAATTTATTCATCATGCTGTGGAATCAAAGGAACAATTTGTCGTGTTTGGTGACATGTTTTTCGTGCGGTCCTTTGCAGAGCCGGAGGAAGGACCCAGCATCGACGGTCTGAGCACATCACCCAGAGCCTCCATCGGTGAGTGTGTTAGCTTCATTCAGCCTCAGAGAGCAAAGTCACAGGCGCTGCTCTGCTCTCTCATGACCTCAGCACTGTCGTCTTCAATTCCCCTCCTCATGTTTGACATTTGTGCTTATTCAGAGGGTAAAAACTTGTCCCACAGCTTCTCTGTATTTCTCTCTGTGTTTATCTGCACAAATATGAACATGTACTGTATTTCCAAGGTGCTTAGAAAAGGATTATTGTTATGTTTGATGTATCTGTCTCTTGTGCTATTTAACAGTTAATAAAAAAATTAACCTAAATTATAAAGCACATTCCATACAAGAAGATTTAATACAGTGTGCCCAACAAGAGATAAAAAGAAAGGTGTAAGAAATGGGAACATTAAGAAAACAAAGAGATAGATTTAAACTGTAAATGATCACTTTGGATGGAAGATACAAGTATGAAATGTTTGGCCAACATTTAATCATTAAAGGGAACTTATCAGTAGTGAGTGTGTTACCTACACTAGACGTCAGTCAGCACGTCCCCAGTTTGGAGAAGCAGGCTGGAGTACTGACACAGAAGCTAAACAATGTGCTGCTGTGGGCGGAGTCAGCAACATCACACATATTAGCCAACTAAAACAATCCACAATCCAGAAACGAAAGAGTCATGACATGTAGCACAACAGCGTCAGCCTCTAGTGTGACATGTAACAGACGCATCAGCAGCACTTTATAAACAATATCAATGACATCGCATGTCAATAACAATCATTTAGCGTCCCTGTTATATGGCGGCTGATCTCGTCCTCTGCTTGGAGGGTAAGGAGCTCCTGGACCTCATTGTTTTCAGCTGCTGTTCTTCTTCTTTGAGTGAGCTGCTACGTTCAATTCAATTTTATTCATAAAGCCCAATATCACAGATCACAGTTTGCCTCAGAGGCTTTACAGCATACGACGTCCCTCTGTCCTCTGGACCGTCACAGCTGATCAGGAAAAACTCCCCAAAAAACCCTTTAACAGAGAAAATACATGGTAGAAAGCTCAGGAAGAGGTGCTGTTAGCTGCCTTTTAAATCTCCCGCAGTGCGTCGTACACATAACACATCATCAAAACGTCACACCTGTGCTGCCCATGATCCCATCCTGCCGTCTGCCCTGTTTATACAGACATCATTTCAGTGCTGTTACTACCTCTCCCATGGCAGATTATAGGCGAGACACCTCTGTCCCCACATACCGCCATCAAACCTTACATACAGCATGGCGAGGCGGCATAATGGTGCGGTAATAATAATGTGTAAGAGAGACTGGTGATGGCTACGGTTACGCCTGCACTCTGTGAGTCTGGGGTCACACCATGGTTAACCGCTGTGGTTGCTACTTGTAAACGCACAGCACCCTCCTGTCACTCAAACACGCTCCGCCCTTAATCATGTGTAACTGTAAGCTTTAATATAATGTAAACAGGTGAATCATACAGACATCGTTTCGCCGCTGTTACTACCTCTGATGGCGTCCTAAAGGCGAGACAACCCTGTCCCCCCATTCTGTGATTATACCATTTATACAGAACGCTGAGGCGACATTATGGCCTGAAATTCTGAAGTTTGTTATGGGCTCTGGCTTTGAAGAGAGTGATATAACGGCTTCAGTTCACCGCCAGAGATCACTGTTTGATGGAAAGGACAGGCCGGGAAAATATCATAAATACAGCGTACACTTGATATTTTAGGTCTTTAAAATACATGTTGCAGCAGTACGCTGATCAGCTCCTGTGTCGGTACTCCAGCCTGCTTCTCCAAACTGCGGACATGCCGACTGACATCTGCTGTAGGTAACACACTGACTGTGGACAAATACCTGATACAGCCCCACCACAAAAGGTCAGAACTATCCCTATAATTAGCGGATCACTCACGCAGTCCTCAACATGTCAGTCAGTTATTTAACGTTGATAAAGAGCATCATTCACATGTTACATCAGCTTCTTGTGTGTTTCTGGATTCTGGTTGGTGTCTGTTTGTCCTGTCACGTAGACGCCTCCATGCGTTTGTCATCACAGGAAGGACAGACGCCCAAAGGTGATTAGCTGCTGTTTGTATTTGCGCTGGTTAGTTGATGCCTCAGACGCATGGTTGTGTTGCTTGACTGACATCTTCTCAGCCGCCTCCTATCCTCACCTTTCTGCTGATCACGCAATGGAAATATGTGGCTGAGGAGAGCCTTTGATAGCTGTGTGCTGTCTCTATTGTGCACCTGCTGTTAAACACGTTGCTCTTTGTCAAAGTGAAGCTTTGTATTCTCAGTCAGGAAGAGTCAACCAAGGCTGCTGCATTGTGTCAGAGGAGAGCAGTCATTGTCACCTGTGTCACAGACTGGCAGGTAATCAGTGGGCGATTCAGATGCAACATGTTGACTGTGTGGCGTCACAACTCGAAAGGAAACTGACAAACCATTCAAAGGATCTAATAATAGTATTTATCACAACAGTCTGATGTCTGTCAGTAAATAGTTTCCTAAAGCGTGTCAGTTTTTTCACAATGCAAATACTCCTGACTGACTAACAGCAGCGCTACAAGAGCTTCAGAGTGTTGCTGATGACTTTGTGAGACCCAGGTGAAACAGTCAGCTTTAACGCCGTGCCGCGCTGGCTCACAGCCTTCACTGAGTGTAAACAGTTTGGGAATTAACAATAAAATCCGACCAAAGCCACGTCTCTCTCACTGTTCCTTCTCTGCTGTATTAGCTTTGTGTTTCTGAGCTGGTGTGATGATTTCAGGTCGTCAGTATGAAAACCATTCTCACTCTGCCCATGTGGTGAAGTGGAGGCTTCAAACTAAACTGTCCTGCAGTTTTTTAACAGATTGCCTCTTGTGTTACAGACGTGAAGCCTTCCATCATTGGAAAAAAGAAGCCCATGGCTGCCAAAAAAGGGGTGAGTCATACTTCTTTGTGCTTTAGGAGCTGCCAGCTGTCAGCATGATGATGAGGATGCACTTTAACCTCTAACCTCTTCAACTCAAGCAGGGACCTGAAGATTAATTGGAGATGAAGCTCAGCGATGTCTAGTTTCTGTTGTAGTGCAGGCAAGAAAACTGCATTTTTCTGCATGTGTGGGTTCCCATAGAACCCATTTTCATTCAGATACCTTGAGGTGAGAGGTCAAGGGACCTCTGTCAAAAATGGCCTTGACAGTTGTTGCCCTCGCCAAAATTTAGCCTTTAACCCTCTTTCTGACCAGATATATCTAAAACTCAGCCTTCAATGACCTCTGAAAAACAGTAATGTCAGCCGAGAACACCGGCGTCCCTGCAGAGTGAACGAGGGTTTTAACTACTGTAACTTCAACTCTAACCTGAAACTAATGTGTACTGTGTTTCCTGCTGATGCAGCTCGGTGCAAAAAAAGGTCTGGGTGCCCAGAAGGTGAGCAGTAAGAGTTTCTCAGAGGTGGAGAAACAGGCGCAGGTGGCCGAGAAGCTGAGAGAGGAGCAGGCTGCTGAGGCCAAGAAACAAGCCGAGGAGTCCATGTAAGGAATATTAGTCGTTGCTTTAATTTGTGCAGGTCTTCATGTGAGATTATCGCAATTTATCTTAATTACTTTAAATTTGCTCCTTTATAAAGGGTCTGTTTTTTTTGTCATTTTTGTAATTAATGTGTCATTTCTCTACTATGACCCATTTGTAAAACTTCTTAAACTGTTTGTGGCTGTGCTCTGACATCACTCGTTGTGGCTTTACAGCGTGGCGTCGATGCGTTTGGCTTATAAAGAGCTGGAGATCGACAGGAAGATGGAGGAAAAGAAGATGCAGAATCTGGAAGGCAAGAAGAGAGAGCAGGCCGAGAGACTGGGCATGGGCTTCGGCAACAGGAGGTAACGTCACGACAAACACTGATGTTAACAGGAACACTGCAGTGATGGTGTGTGATAGTGCTGCACGATTAATCTAATCGCAATCGCGTGTCAGGCTGTGCGATTACATAACCGCATAAAAGGCTGCGATTTGCGATTTAATGTAGGCTAAATAAATGTTAACGTGTGTGTCTGTGAACGTCACTGCGTCTCCTGTAGTGTGTGGAGTTTGTTGACATCACGCCCACAAGCTATCCTGGTGCATGCAGCCGGTGTGCAGCAGTGACCAACACAGACGCTGAAGAAGAGCATGAGCTCGACCATGAACAGGCTGAGTTGGTGGCGAAAAAAACGCCTAACGTCTATCACATGGCGATACTTTGGATACAGGTACGGCGACGTTGAACAGAAAGACGTGCTGTGTAAAAGTTTAAAAGTTAAAGTTGCCACGTCCCGCGGCAACACGACCAATCTATATCAGCACTTGAGACAGCACAGCACAGGGAAAAGTAGGAAGAGTGCATGTGAGAGAAAGCCGAGCCGTGTAACGTTCAAGACAAAGAGACAACTGAACGCCGCTAGAGCCTCATAAACAACATCCAAGCACAGTTACGCAAATGTGTAAGTGTCACAGGGAAATCATGGACTCCATAACAAACTATATAACAAATGAAAAACTGAGCAACTTTGCTCAGGTTCGGCCCACTTGACATGCTGCTGTGTTGTGCTATGGCGCTGGAATTTGTGATTTACGTGACAACGCCTGAAGCAACACAGGCTCGCTCCGCTGTGTGTACAGTGTCGTGCTGCGCTGCTGTGTGAGCAGCGTGTTTGACTGTGCTCAGTCTGTTGATGGTCATTGACTCACTGTCTGTCCATAACAATAACTATGTCAGGTCAGTGCCCCCTGATATAATGTAGGGAAACACTGAGTCAAGCAACAAGACTCATGATACCATTTATTTATTACATTTTATTGTAATTATATTGTAATCGCAAATCGCGATATTGTCCACCATAATCGCAATCTCACATTTTTACCAAATCGTGCAGCACTAGTGTGTGAGTAATCATCACATCACAGAAGCCTTTAATTCATCTCTAAATATGAGTATGTGTGTGTGTGTGTGTGTGTCCTGTTTCAGTGCTGTGTCCCACTCAGTGATGTCAGAGATGCAGGTGATCGAGCAGGAGACTCCCGTGGGAGTCAAGTCCTCCTCTCGCTCCAAACTGGACATGTTTGATGAGCCGGGTTTCACCTCTGGACCCCCAAAGTAAGTATGAAGCCTCTCAAAGGACGCCTGCTTATCTGTCCACCTCCGTTTACATCTGCTTCAGTTTAAATAAGTTCGGCCACGATCAGACAGAACTGATCTGCCGTTCTCGTTGAAGCCTGCCCCTTTCAGACAGAGCAACTTTCTGCATCTTTTTATTTGTTGCTGTCGTTTGTAGGCAACCACTGAGTCAGCTGTCCTGAGCTTTACTGCCATTTTGCTGAGACGTAAACTCAGCGTACCTTAAAATCTGCATCATAAGACAGACAGGCGGACAGTAATCTCTCTGGCTCTGGTTCAGTGTAAGAAGCTGTTCCCAAACAGGACGTTGGACACATGGAAACAGAGATCTGTGTGGGTCCATGAGACCCTCAGAAAGAGGAGACATCACAGGAAGTGCCACTGACAGGAGCTTCGCCTGGATGATAGTCGGTTCAAGGCTTCTTTCAGGATGACTTGGGGACAGTTTGACAACCTGCTGTCAGTCATGGGGCCTGATGACAGCTGGTAAAATGTTATAAAGTAGCAGAGACTGGAGTTTGTTCAGATGTGTCTTGCAGCTTTACGAGGGCGCTGGTGAAAGTGAGCTTACACAAACCATGTATGAAGCTCTGCTGACTTGTTGTTACCTCCACCACAGAGGCTCCGCCTTTCAGTTCATCTGATTTGACAACAGGAAAAAACACAGATGACATTTGACGCTTTTTCTGCTGAGATGAAGTTTTTTCAGCTCAAGATGTTCAGGGTGCTCCTGCAAAAACACGAGGCGCATAGAGTGTTAAAACACGAGGCGCTCAGCAACGTACAGGAGCGAGCAAAACGCCTCACTCATTAAAAACAACAAACACAAAACGCCGCCACAGGCTGCTTCAGCACGTTCTGTCTGATCGAGGCCTGTTCGTGTCTCACAACACACTGCAACACTGGCTTTGATACTTAGATTCATTTCCTCTAAACATGTTTCTGTTGTGCACCAATGCACCAAAGCAGAATCCTTATATGTGAAAACCGACCTGGCAGTAAACAGGATTCTGACTGTGACGTCTCAGAGCAGCAGGGACGCTGTGACTAATCCTCTGTGTCTGATGTCTCAGATATAAGGACAACCCGTTTACAGTGGGAGACAGTTTTGGATCCAGGTGGGACACCGAGGGAGGGACTGCCTCCTTTACCACCTCCTGGGCTCTGGAGAAAGAGGACCCCAAAGAGGAGGTCACCATCTCTAGTATTCAGCCAATCGGAGAGAGGTATCTACACACGCACTGTCTTTGTCAGTATTTTGTGAAATAATAAGAATAAGACGTGCATGTCCCTGGACCGGGTGCAGCTCTGATGTGTGCTCTTGTGTTGGGTCCAGACTTCCCAGCAGAAGAAAAGCCGACGTGTCAGCTCCGGTGTCGGAGTCGAGTGAGGCCAGGCAGAAGTTTGCTAACGCTAAGGCAATCTCTTCGGACATGTTCTTTGGTCGGGAGAGCAGCGCAGAGGTGAACGACCTTTAACTTCATCTCAGTTTACGTCAGTGTTTGTCACATGGGGGTCAGTGTACCCTGAGGGGGAGTACATGAGATATTTTAATGATAATTTAAAAAATAATTCTATCATCAAACTGTAAGTGCATCTTATCAAAAAGACGCAGCTCAGTGCAACAACAATGTGTTACTGTATGACAAAAAATTGGTTTGCCATAACTTTAGTTACGGATTCTAAAAATGTGAAATGTAGCATTTTTTGGATACGAGGTTGTTGTTTAAATCTGACAGTGATGGCACAGTGTTGTATTACTACTTGTTTAGATCTGTGCTGTGCTGGTCAGGGGGCGCTGGACTTTAAGAAATGTTTCAAAGGTGGTGCGTTATTAAAAAAGATTGAGAACCACTAGTTGTGGAATACTAAGTAAACTCTTAAACTCTACATAAAGCTGACATTCAGATCTCAAATCTTTGGCGACTAAATGTTGAAAGCAACAGAAGTGCAGGAGTGAGTCCTAAAACCTGGAATGAGTTAGCATGTTAGCACTTCCTGTTCCCTCGTGGTCCCCAGGTGTTGACTGTTGTTTCTTCTTCTCTCAGTATGATGCAAAGACCAGACTGGAGACCATGTCTGGAAACACCTCCATCAGTTCAGCTGACCTGTTTGGGGACGGCAGCGACCATAAAGGTAACGCCTCTTTGTTTGTTTGCTGGCATTATGCTTTAGTTTTCTTAATGTTTAAGTCACGTGAAGAGACCAAAGTGTTCTAAGAGTGTGTGTCTGTGACGCTCAGCTCAGAGCCTGCTGGTTCCTACTGAGGACAGATCTTAATACATCTGTGAGCAGTTTGATGTTTTAAAAAAGTCTCATTATTTCCTTTAACAGCTGCTCACAGGAACAGGAAACAGTCACTTTGTTAGGGACTATTTTTAGCAGCGGATTAATCCATATTTGTTTCAAAGGTTCCCTTCACACAGAGACAAACCTTATTCATGTCATTGATGTGACACTAAATGTTCTCCACTTCCTGTCGTCCTCTCAGGGAGAGCTCCAGGCTTCGACAGCGTGCTGCCCTCCGGCCCGGACATCGCACAGTTCAAACAAGGAGTGAAGACTGTAGCGGGCAAGATGGCCGTCCTCGCCAACGGTGTCATGAATACAATCCAGGTGAGACATCAGCAGAGTCAGCATCTTCTTCAGTGCCTCGTTCACACACCACCACACACCCTGCTGTCTTACAGCGACCTCTCTCCCAGGTTACACTCAGCCTTGTGTTTTCATTGGCTGTAGCTTGCCAACAGCTCCGGACATTTACACTACCTCTACATAGTGGATGCATCACGCTGCAGCTCATCAACAGACGAACACACTAAGTTATAACTTCTTTTGCTGACAGACCTGCTCTTCCTCCACCCCTGCGTTAGCTTCAGATCATGAGTGAACAGCCACTAATTAAAGTTGATGTCTCACCTGTAGAGCTGATCTCCAGAGCTGTGACTCAACAGGAAGTATCTTTTTGGATGTTGACCTTATAGTGACGGGACTGTGGGTCGTTAAGCTCGGGATATTCCTTGTCCTCGTCCATTCTAACTCTGGGTTGTGTTTCAGTCTGGACGGGCAGGAACAGATACTTGTGGAAATGATGACGTAGGCACCAGCGTGCGCCTCCTGATTGGGTCCATCAGTCACGACATCTCAAGTCTAAACATTACAGCATAGTCCACAAACCTTTTCTGGTTTCATCCATCTTGTGAGGTTACTCCTTTTCCATCACCATGGCTTCCTCTGGCGATGGATAATGTTCCCAGAACCACTTTATTTTGTTGCCATAACGACTCCCAGTCTGTTCTCCGCCACCTTGACCACCTTATACTTGTTATTTTCAGTAACAGCTCCACCTCATTGTCGGTCTGAGCAAAGAAATCTCTGGTCTTAATTAACTAAGCAACCAGCTGTAGAGGAGACAACCTGCTCCCTGTTTCAGTGGCACACGTGTGCCTGGTGTACGTGAACAGTCATGCGATATGCGTTTTCTCTGTGTAAGTATGGACAGAGATTATTCCTGAAACAAGAACTTATCAGTTTGGATGTGGCATGTTAGATATCTGACATGTGTCTGTGAAGCATGTGCAAGACTCGCAGATTTAGTCTCTGAACGGTTCACACGTAGTACTTGAGCGCTCATATGCGAGCGCTGAGCCCACGCCACTTTGCCTCTGATCTCGTGGCTTTTGTCAGGAGCACAGAAAACTGTTGGCAGACAGAAAATCAGGGCTGAAGTCGTGCAGTGTGAACTCGACATCAGCTGATCTGTGTGACGGTGCTGTTTCTGAGCGTTTACTCATATTTCTCCTTCCTTTAACGTTTCCTCAGGATCGCTACGGCTCCTACTGACCCGCCCGGAGAGCGCAGCACCGACCTGTGGGAAGACTTACTAACTGACGCCTGTGAAGAGCCAACCAGCCTCCTGACTGACACGTGCGTTTGGGCGGAGCAGACGAGATGGAGACGGGAAGCAGAAAGGATTGCATGGGGAAAATAAATCGTCCTTCTGTCCCGTCGTCTTGTAGAGACACTTTTACAGGAGTGAGACAGTATTTTCTTCTCTCATCCACATTAGCAGACTCTTGAGTTTTATTTTCATAAAGGAAACCATCGCAGGGTGTAGTTTGTTTTTTTCTAAACCAAGAGTTGTGATTTACTGTCGAGAATTATTTTGGTCTTAGTTTTCAAGATGACGTCAGAGTTAATTCGACTATATTTTATTCCTTCTACATAAATCAGAGTGTTTTTGATTCTTATTATCAGATATTTTATGCTTATGTCTTTTTTGTTTTATTGTGATATTAAAAAGGTGCAGTATATATTTTCAGCGTTAATTTGAACAAGAATCCACCATGTTTGCATTTAGTGTTCGAGTCACTGCTGTTCAGTGTTCAAGTCACTGCTGTTCACTCTCAGTAGAGTTTGTTTTCTGTCACATGAAGCACTGACAGCAGCGGTCTCTGCAGTTTCAGACGGTTTGTGAGCTTGGAACTAAACATTTCTGTCTGGGTGAAAGAAAATATAATGAAACATCAACAGTTTGCTGCTCTGCTCATTTATAATCTGTCTTTTTAATATAAACGTTAACCCCAGTCAGTGGTGAGCGCAGAGACTGGAACCATCAACAGAAGACACGGTGCAGGGGAACCAGAGATTTTAAATTAAGGGGGATTAAACCCAAACTGTAGTTTTAAAGTACGACACATCTCATGAGCTTAATGTGTCATTTAAAAATTAAAGATGCGTCTATGTTCAGAGACGTCAGACAGAACTGTGACGTCCCAGCCCATAAATCCATGACTTTGACTATGCATCTTCATTTTACAAACTGTAACATGTTGCTGGTTGAATCGGAAGTCTGCCTCCACGCACCTCCACTCTGAAACGTTTGGTCATCGCTGCCTTTTGAAACTCAGCAGATTAACACTTTATTTTAAGAGACTGCCGTCTTCAGTTTACATTTTTATCTGCTCAGTTTAGGACGAATCAGCAAATGAAAAATATCCCGATCCTCCAGCTGTAAACACGAGAACAGTGCCTATGACTGATGATGATGATGATGATGATGATGATGATGATGATGAGGCAGAGATAAATCTGTCTTTAGGAGAAGGAGAGTTATTGTATATTTATCAAACACTGTTATTACAACAAAATGTGTCGCGTATGTGTGGAAGTCCATTTCTGCCCATGTGATGAAATTAAACCTGTGAGTCACTGAAATTCTAACATTACTTAGTGTTTCAAAATATTGAGTTAACTTCAAAAATAGTGGCTCAGCGTTTGAAAATGAGGTGTTATCTCAAAATGACAAAACTTCCTCAAACACACACTGAAGTTGAAATGACTTCATATCTTAAAATAAAGAGAAACTGCCCAAAACTAAACTTGAAATAATGGCGAAGAATTCTCAAAAATATTAATCTAAAAATTAATGACTCAAAATGACAGAACTTCATCTTAGTATCTCAAAAAGAGAAACTTCCCCATAAATATCTTGAAACGAGAAACTCAAAATAAGAAGCTCTAAAAATAATTACGTAATATTGTTTCTTTATTTTTGAAATATTAAGTTATGATTTTGAAATACTGCGTCATTATTTTGAGAAATAATTACTTGAGTTTCAAATTATATTCATATATTATGTCAATATTTTAAGAGAGTTTCATTATTTTGAAATCATTTCAAGACAAGTCAATACTCTGCAAAAGTTTTTATTGATCGTTTCGGATTTTTAGTTTTTTATTCTTTTGAGCTACAAAGTTATTTTAAGTCTATTTTGAGAGTTTCCCTTATCGTGAGACACTAAGTCATTATAACAAGTCATTAATTGAGTTTCTAATTATATTTACGTATTACCATACATTAATACTGAAGTATTTAAGTCATTATTTCAAGACAAGTCAATACTCTGCAGAAGTTTCGTTGTATTGAGAGTTTTCCATTCTTACAAAGTCGATACAAAGTCGTCATTTCAAGATAAGAATTTTAAGAGTTTCTCAGTATTTTCAGATGAGTCAACACTTTGAGAAAGTGTATTATTTACAGGACCTTTTTTTAAATGACAGACGTGAATGAGCTTCCACACAAACACAAGTATGAACCCCTCTCTCATCAGTTCCCGGCAGACTTTACATTCATCAGGCGACAGAACGACGTGTCTCGACAGCAGAGAGTCCTGGGAACCGGTCTGTAAAGTTCTTTGATAGATCAGAGTGTCATATTTTTCCTAGCGTGGCCATGACAACTGTGTGTGTGTGTGTGTGTGTGTTCCACCCAACATCAACTCTTCAACAAGTAACAAACGTCAACTGAAAGGATGAAATGTTCAACTATTTATTTGTAGGCTACAAAAAGAAACTTATTCAGTATGTTAATAAAGATTTCAAACCTGGGGCTCGCTCTCGTCAATCGCATGTCATCACACACACAAACACACACATGGAGTCTTAAACCTGTTTTTGCTGTCTCACAAGTTTCCATCATGTTTAATGTGTTGTCTGTGGTGCTGTTCAGTCGTGTGTGTGTGTGTGTGTGTGTGTGTGTGCACTCCCTCTATTCAGCATCAAGACCCTCTAACTAGATCAACTGGAAATTCAGATCCGTGCTGGTGGAGATGAGCTGCTGCTCAACTTGAATGATGTGCTTCTCAGTTTTAAGAGCTCAGCTGGCGCCTGATCTCGACCTCGACAGATAAAAACACTGCTTTTACGATGGAATGAAACGATAACGTCGCTCACAGAGTTATTCAGTCACATGTTATAAAACTGTCAATGCAAGAAGCAAACTAATCACAGCACAGATGGCAGCACCAATCATGGACTCAAAGAATGAAGTTCTCCGACATTTGATGCACGAGGCAAGTCTTTTCTTTTAGTACGAGTCACAGCAGAGCTCTGTAGTGTCAGGATCAAGGACGTGGTAATCATCTCCACGTCTTTACTCTGATTTTTGGGGAATTAAAAAAAGTGTCTCAGTCCCTGGGCCTGACAGCTCCGGTCTCACCGTTGCCCTCGTCGACTTGTGACCATCAAAGATGGCGGCAGGTTTTATCCCCAGTTGTAGAAGTAGATCTTCTGCCAGGTGGGGAGGTAATCCATCAGAGGGCCTGGACACACACACACAGCAGTATGTTCAATATAAATATAATCATGCTGCTGCTGAAAGAGAAGAGCTTTACTTCTGTTCCAACGCACTGTTAGTGGAATTAATTCTCACTGTGTGAATACGACCCTGACTCCAGAAAAACCAGGACGCTGTGGAAAACAAAACACTTGGACTCAACCATGAACTGATTGGATTTCAGTGGTCAAAGCTCACTGTGACCTTGCATCCATCTCATGCCGAGGGAGGCTCAGGTGAAGTTTTAGAGTCCTCAGATCCCTTGTGGATATCCAAGGGGAGAGGGGAGGACACTTGGATCACTACGGACGAGCAGTATGGAGATATTTTGTGGTTTCAATAATGTGTTTTTGGACGTTTGAATCTGGGGCGCCGTCAGCCTCCATTAGGTGGAGTTGTGTTGCTACCTCCTCTCCCCTTGGATCTCTGCAAGTGATGTGAGGACTCTAAAACTTCACCTGAGCCTCCCTCGGCATATGGGTGAGTAGATAATGGCTGAATTTACATTTTTCTGTGCACTATCCCTTTAAGCCCTGTTTCCACCGAGCAGTCCGGTTCGATTCAGTTCAGTCACTTTTTTCTGTTCTCACAGTAGAAGTTGTGGATGGTACCAACAGAACCGTTGCTTACCATCCATTTTTCAAAAATGGTTTCAAGTTTCAGTTATAGCAATACACCTTTGTTAGCCAACAATAACTCTTCTGTTTTCAACCCTTTAAGGATCGTTCTGAATGATGATATAAATTCTGTAATACTGTGATACAGTGAAACTGTTTCTTTGACGGTTATCGTAAAGTGAAAATCTTGTAGTACTGTTACAACCCTCGTCAGCATCATGGAGGTCACATGACTTCAGTACTTACGTGCTACGAGGCCGATTCCTGGAACGTGATCAGCCAGAAGTCTGAGCAGGAACAGAATCTTTTCCCTGCACATCAAACAGACATAGTCACAACTGTTAGAGCACCGTTTACTGTATGATTCTGATATTTTGCAAATATTTAAACCTGCATTTATTCAGACTGATGTGTCTCAAACAGGCTGATCGATGAACTGATGAGTCAGGTGGCAGAAAATCAATCACTGATGTTTATGACAAACATTGAGGTCATCTTTAAGCTGAGCTTTGTTCTCTGGATTGAGCTTCTAAATGTGACAATTTTATGCCTTCTTCTGTTTTATATCAGTGCATTCAATGTACACTGACCAGCCACTTTATTAGGTACACCCTGCTGGTACCAGGTTGGACCTCCTTTTTAATTCTTGGTGTCATAGATTCAACAAGGTGCTGGAAACACTCCTCAGAGATGTTGGTCCATATTGTCATGTTTGAGATGATGTGAGCTTTGTGACATGGTGCGTTATCCTGCTGGAAGTAGCCATCAGAAGATGGGTACACTGTGGTCATAAAGGGATGGACACACTCAGCAACAATACTCAGGTAGGCTGTGGTGTTTAAACCATGCTCAGTTGGTACTAAGAAAATCTCCCCCACACCATTACACCACCAGCAGCAGCAGCCTGAAGCGTTGATACAAGGCAGGATGGATCCATGCTTCCATCTGAATGTGGTTTTTCCAATCTTCTATTATCTTCTATTGTTCAGTTTTGGTGAATTGTAGCCTCAGTTTCCTGTTGTTAGCTGACAGGAGTGGCACCTGGTGTGGTCTTCTGCTGCTGTAGCCCATCTGCTTCAAGGTTGGACAAGGTGTTGTTGCTTCAGAGATGCTCTTCTGCACACCTTGGTTGGAACCAGTGCTTATTTGACATCCTGTTGCCTTTCTATCATCTTGAACCAGTCTGGCCATTCTCCTCTGACCTCTGGCATCAACAAGGCATTTTGGCTCACTGGACTGTGGCTCACTGGATATTTGCTCTTTTTGGGACCATCCTCTGTAAACCCTAGAGATGGTTGTGCTGAAAATCCCAGTAAATACTCAGAGCAGCCCGTCTGGCACCAACAACCATGCCACGTTCAAAGTCACTTCAATCACCTTTCTTCATCATTCTGATGCTCCGTTTGAACTTCAGCAGCTCGTCTTCACCATGTCTACATGACTAAATGTTAATGAGCTGCTGCCACGTTGTGTTATTGAGCAGTTGAACAGGTGTACCTAATAAAGTGGTCGGTGAGTGTATTACATAACAGTGTACATTGAATATATTTTGGGTTTTGGGCTGATCATTGGACCAAACAAGCAAATTCAAGCCATCATTTTAGGCTGTGGGAAATTATGATATCTATTTTTCTTCCAAACTTTTCTGACATTTTAGACGAAACAACAAATCGCTGAATTGAAAACATTAACTGATGAACAGAGCTGATCATCAGCTGCCTCCCTGACTGTGCAGATTCTCTCGTCCTCATAACAACACGTCACCGTTGAGACATCCAGACGAACTTACTCAGAGTATTTGTCATAGAAGGGTGAACGCAGGAGGTAGTAGAGCAGCAGGAAGGTCCTCCTCCTCATCTCAGCTTTCTCCCATCGATTTTGGAATTTAGCATCACTGAGCACGGCGAAGCTGCAGGAGGAAGGACACAGAACAGGAATAACTTCTCACACTGTGAGAGAGGAACAAAAGAGGAAGAAGATCCTGAAGTGACAGATATCTTTGTTTTCTTGCCAAGTCTGATAGAAATCTTAAAACAAACGAGCAGCTTCTCGTCAGGCGACTTTCATGTTCTCATCGCGCGTCATGATTCTGGTTCAACTAATCAGAGATGTTTTTCTGAGCTGTGGGAAATCAGTCATGTTGACAGACAGCGTGGCTCAACTCGTGTTCAGAACACTTTCACAATCATTTCTCTTCTTCCAAAATATTTTGTTTCCCTCGCCGCTCATGTACTGATCAACTGGACATATTTCATCTAAACTACATTTTACACATGAGCATGTATCATTATTTTCCCTCCAAATCATGGAGGTTAGATTATATCAGGTAGAAACTCTTCAGCATCCCCTCTGGACTCAGACACGTCTAAAACTGAAAAACTTCCAAATATGAAAAAAGACTGACCTAACAATGATCACGGTTTTGCTGTTTTTGAGTTAAAGGGTAAATCTGGTCATTTTCATTTTTGTATTATTATGTCCCAACCTTGATGTCCATGTTTTGGTGAGACTGAGTATCAAGCGAGAGCGCTGCAGTCAGACTGACTGTGTGAGGTCGCTAGTGCACGCTATTGTGCACGTATCGTCTTGTCACATGATCAGAGACTTGACACTGGATAACATCAAAGTACATATTACCCAGCAATCATCACTGCATATCGGTTTATAACAAGAACTTTAATAGTTGATTTATAGAGTATTTGATGTATAGTTATGTATAAGCACATCACGCTGTTACAGAAGATATTTACTATTTTACAAAAATAAATAAACATGAAGGAGATGGTTTCCTTTCTTCAAGCTCACATACAGCAGATGACTCTGTTTTTACTTTAACGAGAGCTCTTCAAACACAGATTTTTAAGGCGGCCGTCGCTCATAAGGGTTCACGTTCTTCAGAAAAAATCCTGTTAACCACTCCTTCAACAAGAACAGACCTCGGTAAAACAGCTTCCTCTTCATATGCACCACACGCCTGGAATGAACTCCAAAACACCTCAAATCTGGAGTCACTTCCACCTTTCAACACATTTAAAAACCTTTTAAAATCAACCTTTATTGATCAGTGTCACTGCTTCTAACTTGGTGCCTTTCAATAGGATGTCCGTTTTACCTTGTTATGTGTCTTACTGACTGTAATGTGTTCTCACTGACTTTGTGTTCTCGTATGTGAGACTTGTGTTCTCGTATGTTTCGTATGGGAGACTTGTGTTCTCGTATGTTTCGTATGTGAGACTTGTGTTCTCGTGGTTTTAGTATGTGTCCATTGTGTTGTCTTTTGTGTACTTGTAACTTTTGCCGCCAGTCTTGGCCACGACTCCCTGGAAGAAGAGTTACTGTAACTCAATGGGACCCTTCCTTGTTAAACAAAGGTTAAATAATATAAATAAATAAATAAAAAAGTGCCCATTCTCCACCCAATGCTTTGTTGGAGGGCCCCACTGTCTCTATGGGCCCCCATCATTAAACTCACTTCATTCAAAGTCGACAGAGACAAAATAAAATTCACAAAAGCTGTCTTTAATTTGTCTCTCCACTGTTCCAACAGTCACCAGCTCTGGTATGGTTTAAATTAACCCTTAATGCACCAGTTAGATGTGACAGCATGCTGCCTCTATACGGGCATATTAGATGAATGAGGATTGATGTTACACAGGCAGAGCGTTCATACCTGGACAGTTCCAGGACTCCGGAGACGAGCCACGGCGTCCACGATTGTTTCCCACAGAGTCCGAGGCAGAGTACTGCAGCGTTAAGGAACAACTGACTGCAGTACAAATATACAATAATTAATATTTGTTCCTCACTCTGTGTGTACAAGAAACATCTTCTCACTTTTCATGTTTTTACTTTTTAATATTTTAAATGTTTGTGTGACAAACAAGGTCAGAGAGACTTTTTATAGGTTAAATAAAAGTGTTTTATCTCCATATTTAGCGTCACTGCTCTCACAGCACACAGCTGGCTCTGTATCTAAAGACATCAAACTGCAGCTCCAGCTTCCATCAAGACACATCATACTAAATAATACAATAACAGATGACATGCAGATATACATATCACTTTCACCAGGTGATTATGGACCTGTGGAACATCTGTGTCACTGAGCAAATCAGTGACTGGATGAATCAAAAGTTTCACCAACAGAGATCAAACTGACATCACTGTCTTTGGGCCACAGACAGACAGACAGACAGTGTGTCAGCTCTCACCTTGAGGTCCTCTCACTTCTAACTGAGAGTCACACAAGACACCTTCCTGAACTCAGATTTAAATTCCCACAGCCACATCAAATCCTCGTCCACCCTGTACTGACTTCAACCTTAGCTCTTAAACTCCATTTTGAATCATTTCAAATGATTGTAAATAATTTAATAATCAGTTTTACCTTCTATATCTTATCTCTTTGCTCTCTCATTGTAAATCTGAATCCTTTATTATGTTTCATATGTCACTGCTCTGTAGATCCCTCTGAGTGTCCCCCGCTGTGTGAAATGTGCAACGCAAATAAGCTGCCTCGCCTACTTCGCCATCTAGTGGTCAAAACTCATAATGCAGGACGGGTTGACAGGTGGTGTCCCTCAGTTCACACTGTGGTGCTGCAGCAGACGTCACTGTAACTCTCCACACTCATTTTATTAATAACAACAATTAACTTTGTTTCTGCAGCACCTCTAAATAAAACAAGGACCACAAAAACTTCTTGCAAAGGTTATAAATTAAAGTTCTGCAGAGTCTCATTATAAAGCCTCATTTAAAGGACTGTGCAGCTGTCAGCAGAGGTGTGTTCTGTGTGTGTGTGTGTGTGTGTGTGTGTGTGTGTCCTTTAGTTCAGTGTTCAATGATGTAACTGTGGACTGGGGTGACACTGAGGGAAGGATACGGTGTACAAGAGGCCGTCCGATGTACACAGACTCGGCGAGCGTCTCCTGGAGCCCCAGCTGAGTCGGTTTGTTGTGGAGCTTCTCTTCATTTAAGCTGCTCCTCCTCTTCGTCTGACTCGGTGCTCCCCACAGCCGCGCCTGCAGGGAGGGAGCTGACACACAGCAGAGACCAGAGGAGGTGAAGAAGAGGATGAGTTCACCGCGAAGAGTCAGAGAATACAACAGTGATTTACAGTGAGGTCACTCTCTGTTAAACATGGTCCCAGGGTCAAGTTCAGACCTGGTTTGAAAACTTGAAACACAACGATTAAATCAACAAAACAGCTGATTTACATTTTCTTTGTACTTAACAGGCGGCAGACATTTTGTCATCGTTTGTCACGAGACAACCTGTAGGGCGTTCACTGTTCACAGCTCAGTTTGTTTTCCTCTGTTTTATTGTTTATTTACTCACTGATGGATCATGATCACTGACTGTAGTTGTTGACTTGTTGTTCTGTGTTTTATTTAAGTCTTATGCTGTTACGTGACGGTTTGTTTTTTTGTTTACCTCTGTTTATGAAGACACATTAGTTCCACCTGCGTAGTTCCTACTCGCTGCATGCTGAACGCAAAAAATGCAAAGTGATATCTGTTTAAAATGTGTCCGTGGGCCATTGTTGGCTCCGAGGCCGGACTTTGGACACGCCTGCAGTAAACAATGACAGCAGGTGTGTTTCTATCCAACTCTTTTTATGCACATTTTCAGTTTGCAAATAAAGAACCCTGAGTGGAGGCAACAGAGTGTTAATGAAGGTTAGACAAACATTTAAAGACCACTTTTCATTCCTCGTAGGAAGTTTTTATCCAAACGTCAAACCTCTTGGCGACTCGAGAGCAGTGCAAACACTGTTAACACAACTAAACGGCTAAATTTGTTTCATGAAATGTGTTAAAGTTGATGTTTGGTTGTTAATAATCCACCTTCTGAGTGAGAGAAGAGATAAAGGACAGTCACCTGAGGAGTCATCTGTTGTTTTTCTGTGAGGTAGTGACAGAAGCTGATGTGACCATGAAACCTAAACAGTCTTCACAGCAGCGTACGTGCAGCCTGGCCATCTGCCATCATTCAGCTCCAAGTGTTTCTGGTACTTAGGAGCTTTTGTTTGGACGGAAACGGGATATTTCCTGTTTCAGATCCCGTCACGAACCCGACACCAACACTCAGTCACACTGAAGCTTAATAAGCTCAAATGGCTCTAATATTAAGGCACGTGAAACTTTAAAGAATCTGATATTTGAATGTAAAGTTCGATCTGGTCTCACCGCTGCCTAGTGGTCTGATGACACGTCCTGACCTCTGACCCACGAAGCAGGTGTCACCTGACTGCTCCCTGTTCCCATCATCTGCGGAGAAGAGGAAAGGAAACACAGTTTAATCTCATTCGGTGCTGACACTAACATCACTGAGTTTAAAGCAGCACAGGTTGATTTTTTTCACCACTTTGAGGTGAATTTAATTGTAAACACATTTATAACCTTAAAGAAGTGTTATGGTGACGGACAGAAAGAGGAAGAGGAAGAGAGGATAACTGACCTTCACTGGCAAATTCTGCTCCTCTGTCGAGGGGGATTATGGGAGGCGAAGTCTGGATGCCAGATTTGTACCACAGAAGAAGCACAAGGCGAAAAACTGACCTGAAGAAAATGTGGTCAGAGAGAGGAGACAGATGATGTCACACTGCTACAGGAAGTGGGCGACTCTTATGACAACAAAAAACCTCTTAAAACTTGAAACAATTCAAATCAACACAATAATAAATGATATAAAACAAAGCAGACTTTAAACTGAGCTACTCTTTTTGTGTATTAAAGATCTGTTAATGCTGATAAACTACACGGTCAAAAGTATGTGGACACCTGTATGCGACAGCTGAACATCAACATTGGAATAATTTATACCTGCCGTCACCGTCCTCATTTTAGTCTTTCTAAAAGATTTGAAGCTTTTGATTTCCTGGTCCATCTGCGTCCCAACCCCCACCTATGGTCATGAGCTCTGGGTAGTGACTGAAAGAATGAGGTCACAGATACAAGCGTCTGAAATGAGTTTCCTCTGTAGGGTGTCTGGGCTCAGCCTTAGAGATAGGGGGAGGAGTCAGACATCTGGAGGGAGCTTGGAGTAGAGCTGCTGCTCCTTCACGTTGAGGTGGTTCAACATCTGATCAGGATCCTCCTGGTCCAGCTGGTAGGAGGCCCCGGGGCAGACCCAGAACACACTGGAGGGATTATAGATCTCATCTGGTCTGGGAACACCTCGGGGGAGAGGGATGTCTGGGGTGCTTTGCTTGGCCTGCTGCCCTCGAGATGCGGCTCCGGATAAGAGGATGAAGATGGATAACAGATTTTAAAACCTGCTGCAGAGAGTTGCTTCCATTCAGACACCAGAGCTACAAAGATTAGTCCATAATAGATTAGCCAATCAAAAAGGTGCCTCTGGTGTAGTGGTTAGAGCACTTGTCTTCCATGTGGAGGGTCCAGGGTTCAAATCCTGCTGGGGTCGACGCCGCCAAGGGCATGTGGCCGCAACCACCACTGAAGCAAATGAGATCAGATTCCTTAAGGAGGCTTCAGGATAAGAGAGTAACTCTGGAACCTGAGCTGAGCCCACGACAGGGCCGCGTCTCAAGCCTTTTGTAGACGGGAGGTTCCAGGGGACGCTCTCATGCTGAAACAGGACAGGACCAAACCGTTGACCCACAGTTGGAAGCACACCATTGTCTAAAATATCACCCAAACTGCTCAAACACAAGCACACAGTCTGTTTCCACATATTTTTGCCCATGTAGTGTACGTTCATTTTGTCATTTTAAATGAAGACATTGAGAAAGAGATGAAGCTGAGTTCAGGTCACCAGAGGGCAAAGCCGTACTTAAAAATCTGAATGAGTCCGATCACCAGCCAGCGGCCGACGTCTCCCCACAGCTTACAGGCTCCCATCTCCAGGAAGACTTCCATGTACTCCAACACGGAGAGCCAGGTGAGGAGTCTCTGCTGAGACAGAGACTGAACACACAGCGGGAGCATGAGTCACAACTTCAACCTTCAGTCTACACGTCACTTTACTGCCATCAGACTGTTAGATGGAGAAGAGCTTCAGCCTGGAACAACCTGCCTCGCTGACACTGCTGTGAGCTGAGACACTGAAGGTGCATGAATGTTTATCTGTTAGCTGCTGTGTGTGTGTCTGTGTGTTTGTGTCGTACTGTCTGAACACAAATCAGTAGTGTTGAGTCAAATACTGAATGAAACAAGTATCTGGTGCAGGTACTTTACTTTTTACAAGTCCAAGTATCATCCGAGTACATTTTGTCACTATTTATACATGTGATGGAGTAAAATCCTCATTTGGGAGTTCAGTCTCACTCTTGTGTTAAAAATGATCTGAAGCTCAATGGTGAGGCTGCAGGAAGCATTTATGTAAATAGATCTGAGCTGATTGGAGAACAGTCGAGCGGTGCTCACCACAGGGAAGGCACATCTCAGCCCTTTGCGCAGAATGCTGTCGTTAAACAGCACCAGGAGGTTGGAGGCAGAGTACACTGAAATAAACACAAAGTTTATCAATATATATTCATCATGCATCATCCTTTGTACAATCATGCAGTGTTGGGGAAGCTACTCTGAAAGCTACCTATGATTTTACACATGAAGAAGTTGAACTACAGCAAAGCTGCCCGAGAGGGAAATCCTTATGATCTGGTTAACCAAAGCTGCTGCAAAAAAGAAGTTCAAACTACTTTGTAAAAGCTGATCAAATTGAAAATGTACATGTGATACGAAATTATAACGAAGTACACTAAATAAAAATTTAAATCCAACACTTTTGTTTTTGCTCCCATTATCACAGGTTGAAGTTAAAGATTTGAGACGTTTTCATTCACTCAGTAGACACATTTCTTTTCAAATTCTGGACACAATTTGTTAAAATCTGTTTCAATGAGCACTTTTTCTTTTCCAAGAACATCCATCCATCTGACAGGTGTGTCTGATGAAACAGCATCGTTACTACACAGGTGTGTCTCAGGATGGTCACAATAAAAGGACTCTCTAAAATGTGATGTTTGATCACAGCACAGTGACACAGAGGGTTTGATTTTGTGAATTTGGCAGTACAAGCGCAGACCACGTGTAACCACACCAGCTCAGGACCTCCACATACAGCGTCTTCACCTGCAGGATCGCCTGCTCTGGTCTGCAGTTGTGAGGTCAGTTCGATGTAGGGGTGAGGAAATAATCGATTTTTAGATGCATCGAGATTCTGTCTTGAACGATGCGAGCATCGATTTGGAAAACTCAATCAATTTTATTTTCATTTTTATTTTTCAAATTACCGTAACTCCTCAACCATTCACACTATCGACGTAATTCCAATGGATTCTGAAAGCGATATATACGGTACATTACGGTAGTGACGTCATTACCTGTGGAGGAGGGGAGGGAATTGAGCACAGCAGGAGGAGAGTGACAGCTGACGAGGAGAGTGCAAGTTGGAGAGATTTAGCGGAGTCTGGGTGGCGTTTTCTTTGTAAATAGTGTTGTAAATAATAGTATTTGTGTTTTTTTGAGAGCTTTTGAGTGTTTTCGTCGTGTTTTCACCATAGTTCGTAGTTTTGCCATCGTTCGTCTTTTTTGCAATAGTACGTGTTTTTATAGTTCATAGATAGAACTATAGTCAGTTATAGTTTTGTAAATACTGGAGGAGAAATGTCGAGGAGGTCGACGAGGGACAGGAGAGTCCCGCTGAGATTTGTGGATGAGCAGGATGGACCGGTGGAGTGTAGTCATCTCAACCACAGTAAGTAATACAGTTTGTATGCACTGGATATGTATTCCCAGCTTTATTACAATAATGTTGTTCAATATCTAGTGTAAATTTTCTTATTGGCTTGTTTTATAATCAAGAATCGTTTTATAATCGAAATCGTTGCCCTCGGAATCGGAATTGAATCGAATCATGAGGTGCCTAGAGATTCCCACCACTAGTTCGATGTACAACCAGATTCACAGAAACAACATTGGAGACGTTTTATGGTGGTGGAATAAACATTCATTCGACAGTCAACAGCTCTGGTGGACATTTCTGCAGTCACGCTCCATCTGTGTCACTGTGCTGTGATCAAACATCACATTTTAGAGTTTCCTTTTATTGTGACCATCCTGAGACACACCTGGTGGTGATGCTGTTCCCATCAGGTGCATGATTATCTTTGAAAAGGAGAAGAGCTCACTGACACAGATTTTAACACATTTGTGACCAAAGTTTAGAGACATGTATCTACTGAGTGAATAAAAAGTCTCTTTAAGATCTTAAACTTAAACCTGTGAAAAATAGGAACAAAAACAAAAGTGTTGCATTCACACTTGGACAGGTTGAGTCTGTTAGACCCATTTTATTCTCTGGGTTTTAATTGTTTTTGACATGTTTTCTTTTTTAATCAGATTTGCTGTGTTTACACTGTGTTGAAACTAGTTTTATTTTAATCTGGTTTAACTCATCTCTGCACAGTTACGTCTTTGCTTGTATGTGCTTGTATATGTCTGTCTTTGGTGCACGACCTGTTTTGTTTTTAAAGTGCTATATAAATGACATAAACTTGAAACTTTAAACATATTTCTTCAGTGTACATTAAAGCTGATACTGGTGTGATACTGTGTCTGTGATGAGCTAACTGGTTTCCTTTGTTTCCTTACCTAGTTCAGATATTTCATGGGAATCTGCAAATCGCCCTGAAAAACACGAGTCATGACATGTTGTTCATTAGGTGCTGAAGAAAAAGGGCAAAACAAACAAGCAGCTGGTTTCATGTTTTTACAAGTTCAAGGGATAGTTCAGATTTTCTGAAGTGAGGCTGTGAGATGCATTTATCCATAGTCAGTGTTGATGTCAGTCAGCACGTCTCCAGTTTGGAGAAGCAGACTGGAGTCTGACATTAAAGCTAAGCAATGTGCTGCTGTGGACGGCGTCAGTGACACAACAGACTATCTTGTAAATCAAGACTTTGAAAAATGGGACAAACACACAACTGAAGTCCTACACACTGAGATTTGTATACTCAGAGTCCAGCGGAACACCCCTAACAATGGATACCGAGCTGAACTCTGCTAATTTCCACTTTAATTACGATTCAAAAAAGAGCAATCAAATTCTACAAACAGCTAAAAACAAGTGACTCCAACTCCTCCCATTACAGAGAGGAGTCCTCTCAGTCAGCTGGTCCTGAGGCTCACCTCCTGCGTCAGCACATCAGGACGACCCTCACACAATCCAGCCCAACTTAACTATAGCTAAAGAAAGAGAAAACTCCATCAGCTGTTGGACATCTATCACAAAAAAACCCAAAACACACTTCAGTGCTGTTTGTCCCTAAACAGACAGAACACGATGGCAAACTATCTGACCGCTGTGACACATCAGAAACTGAGAAAGACACTGACTATGCACAGACTCAGTGATGTCACAGCCTGGACGTAGAGACAGACAGACACAGGCAGAGGACAGGCCGTGTCCTCTCTGTCCTCAGAGACAGGTGGAGACAGAGCAACACTTCCTGCCACAGTGCAGCACATATGAGGACATCACAACAAAGTTCTTCACAAGAATTAAATGTAAACTCCAAGATTTTGATTCACTCTCTGACCAGACTGACATGATGTCACATCTGTACACGTAGGTGTGAATGTGAGTGTGAATGGTTGTCTGTCTCTATGTGTCAGCCCTGTGATAGTCTGGTGACCTGTCCAGGGTGAACCCTGCCTCTCACCCAGTGTCAGCTGGGATAGGCTCCAGCCCAGTGTCTAACAATATTGGTGGCCAATTTTTTACATTATAATCTAAACTTTAAAGATAATTTTTAAATTTTTCTTTGCGAAAATTAATAAAATGCTGAGATATAGGCCTACTTTTTCTTAGAGTTGTACCGATACCAGTATCGGAAATGCCTCCGACAATGCCTAAAATGCCAGGTATCAGCGAGTACAGCCTATGACCAATCTGATACCACAGAATGCCTCACGTCATTACGTATGCGCACGCTACAGGCAAACGAAACGGAAACGGAGCCGAGCTTAAAAAGCATTCTACTGTAGCCTTTAAAATGTCTTTTTACCAAATTGTGTGGCTGCACTTTAACCTGTGTCTTGATCTGTGTCAACACTGGATAATAATAATAATAATAAAAAAAAGTTTTATGGCATTCATTCTACTATTATGTATTCATTTCTTAATATTTTACACAGAGTTTTAGGAGTTGAGACATACAACAATTCATAGCCCATTCATTTTTTTTACGTGCTAGTATCGGATCAGTACTCGGTATCGGCAGATACCTGAGGTTCAGGGATCGGTATCGGGAAGGAAAAAGTGGTATCTCTACTTTTATTAATTAAAATGAAAAATGAATAAACAAATGAATGCTTAAGATTAATTTAAAAAAAAATCATGGACATAAAGTGTAAAGAAAAAAACTAATGAAATAAATGACTAAATAAAAAGTAAATAAAAAATAAACATAGATAGTGTGAGTTGTGAGGAGATGAACTCCAGCTGTGTTGGTTCGTGTAGAAGCACCTCATATAACGCACTTTAGAAAATCTGAACTCTTCCTTTAAAACGAAACTAAACTCTGATCTGGAACAAAGTTATCTGCAGTTAGATCTGAAGTTGAGCTTCACGCAGTGACTGACAAATATATATTGTATATAGTCCTTGACGCAGTGTGCCATGTTGTTCTGCATTATTAACATGAGTAAACTGCTGCTGTCACTGACCTGCGATCAGGTAAGACAGGGTCCTCACGGTGCTCTCCAGCTGAGCTGTGGCGGCTGGATTTCTCTTCACATACTCGGTGTAGCGCTCATAGACCCGGGTCAGTTTCTCCATGGACTCTTTAAGGTTCGACATTTTACCTCTAATTTACTGCGCACTGATAAATAACGTTACACTCCGCATTTAACCGCTGAGTTTAAAATATAACACCTGTACGGGGCAGGTTTTTAGTTTGAAGCACATCCGACTTCCACAACACAACACAAACTTCCGCCGCCTGAAGGAACCGTCAGTTATTAACGTCCCCCCGCTCTCAGGTCCGAACACAGTGGTTCCGGTTCCTACTGTTAGTATATAGCACCCGGGTTCTTCTTCCGGACACGTTATTGTTGCATCAGCATCCAACCCTGCAGCACTATGGCTATGTCGACCTCAGCAGAGACAGGTACAGTCACTTATGTTTGGCTTTGTTTTACCGTGTGTGTGGACACGTTAGCTGTGAAGCCGAGAGGACGCTGAGACAGCTCGGGTTAATGTGTGTCTCTACAAAGTGTCACAGTTAATAAGCTAACGTTAGCTCTGTTAGCTCCATGGTGCTGAAGCTAAAGGTAACCGGGCAGTGAATGACAGACCAAAGCCCCTTAAACTATCTGATCATTTAAAGTGTCAGCAGGTCAACAACACCTGACAGCTGCTCTGAGTGAAAACTGTCAGCTCATAGTTATTAATATTTTATATGCTGTTTGTTTGGTGTGTAAAAGAAAACTGAACCAAGCGCCTGTGATGAAGTGAAAATCTGTGGACTGATGAAAATGAGTTAAAGCTCATCGTTTATCAGAGCAGCCAGAGTGTGTCATGTTTTATTATAGAAATAAAATGCAACAGGGCAAAACAGGCTGATGTGACCACAACACTGTAAACTATATATGACCCGAAATAAATAAACATATTTATTCTGTTTCAATTACTGAACTGCTGCAGCTCTAATAACGGCTGTGTCCACATCTGGGCAGATGTTATTTTAGACCTGGTTGGCTGTTGATATTTCCAGGAAACATTAATACCAATAAACATAAAAACAATAATAATAATAATAATAATAAGAGTTTATTATCTATACCTTAAATTTTTAATTTTTGTTTTTGCTTTCAGTTGTGCTCAGTTGCATCATCCAGATTGATCCGTTAACTTTCTGTTTGACAGTTTCACCTCGTGTCACTCATGTCTGCTAATATTTTATTAAAGGTTATAATACCAAAGTGCAGTAATAACAATAACAACAATAATAATAATAGTAATAATAATAATGATAATGATAATGATAAAGTTCCAACGTGACACTGAGAGGAGAAACATCTGTAGTCAGAGTTAAAATATGAGCCTGTCTGCTCCTTTAGGACACAGAGGGTTTGTGTCATATAATCTGCAGGAGTTAACTTTAATTTGAGTTTGAGTTTATGTTAAATTATTATTAAAGTTTTGATGCATTTGTTTTTACTTTCAGTTGTGCTCAGTTGCATCATCCAGTTTGATCCGTTAACTTTCTGTTTGACAGTTTCACCTTGTGTCACTCATGTCTGCTAATATTTTATTAAAGGTTATAATACCAAAGTGCAGTAATAACAATAACAACAATAATAATAATAGTAATAATAATAATGATAATGATAATGATAAAGTTCCAACGTGACACTGAGAGGAGAAACATCTGTAGTCAGAGTTAAAATATGAGCCTGTCTGCTCCTTTAGGACACAGAGGGTTTGTGTCATATAATCTGCAGGAGTTAACTTTAATTTGAGTTTGAGTTTATGTTAAATTATTATTAAAGTTTTGATGCATTTGTTTTTACTTTCAGTTGTGCTCAGTTGCATCATCCAGTTTGATCCGTTAACTTTCTGTTTGACAGTTTCACCTTGTGTCACTCATGTCTGCTAATATTTTATTAAAGGTTATAATACCAAAGTGCAGTAATAACAATAACAACAATAATAATAATAGTAATAATAATAATGATAATGATAATGATAAAGTTCCAACGTGACACTGAGAGGAGAAACATCTGTAGTCAGAGTTAAAATATGAGCCTGTCTGCTCCTTTAGGACACAGAGGGTTTGTGTCATATAATCTGCAGGAGTTAACTTTAATTTGAGTTTGAGTTTATGTTAAATTATTATTAAAGTTTTGATGCATTTGTTTTTACTTTCAGTTGTGCTCAGTTGCATCATCCAGTTTGATCCGTTAACTTTCTGTTTGACAGTTTCACCTTGTGTCACTCATGTCTGCTAATATTTTATTAAAGGTTATAATACCAAAGTGCAGTAATAACAATAACAACAATAATAATAATAGTAATAATAATAATGATAATGATAATGATAAAGTTCCAACGTGACACTGAGAGGAGAAACATCTGTAGTCAGAGTTAAAATATGAGCCTGTCTGCTCCTTTAGGACACAGAGGGTTTGTGTCATATAATCTGCAGGAGTTAACTTTAATTTGAGTTTGAGTTTATGTTAAATTATTATTAAAGTTTTGATGCATTTGTTTTTACTTTCAGTTGTGCTCAGTTGCATCATCCAGTTTGATCCGTTAACTTTCTGTTTGACAGTTTCACCTTGTGTCACTCATGTCTGCTAATATTTTATTAAAGGTTATAATACCAAAGTGCAGTAATAACAATAACAACAATAATAATAATAGTAATAATAATAATGATAATGATAATGATAAAGTTCCAACGTGACACTGAGAGGAGAAACATCTGTAGTCAGAGTTAAAATATGAGCCTGTCTGCTCCTTTAGGACACAGAGGGTTTGTGTCATATAATCTGCAGGAGTTAACTTTAATTTGAGTTTGAGTTTATGTTAAATTATTATTAAAGTTTTGATGCATTTGTTTTTACTTTCAGTTGTGCTCAGTTGCATCATCCAGTTTGATCCGTTAACTTTCTGTTTGACAGTTTCACCTTGTGTCACTCATGTCTGCTAATATTTTATTAAAGGTTATAATACCAAAGTGCAGTAATAACAATAACAACAATAATAATAATAATAATAATAATAATGATAATAATAATGATAAAGTTCCAACGTGACACTGAGAGGAGAAACATCTGTAGTCAGAGTTAAAATATGAGCCTGTCTGCTCCTTTAGGACACAGAGGGTTTGTGTCATATAATCTGTAGGAGTTAACTTTAATTTGAGTTTGAGTTTATGTTAAATTATTATTAAAGTTTTGATGCATTTGTTTTTACTTTCAGTTGTGCTCAGTTGCATCATCCAGTTTGATCCGTTAACTTTCTGTTTGACAGTTTCACCTCGTGTCACTCATGTCTGCAAACATTATATTTATGGTTCAAGTGCCAAAAGTCCCGACACCCTGCTGGAATTAGTTGTATCATTATTATTAGTAGTAGCAGTATTATAAGCCATAATTAGAAGAATAAGACAGCCTATGAAAACAAACTCAGTTCAGGTGAAAGAGCATTTTATAAATACATTTTTCTGACTTCATTACTTAGTTTACGTCAGATTATGGAAACACGTTGGTGCCTGTGTAGTTCCTCCCTGTAGTCTGTCAGATCATCCTGCGATTGTGAGGTGAAAAGAAAAATTAAAATTGGTCCCTGGACCGTCACCGGACTGTGGACCTGTCTGTACATGTCCACATGTCTGCTGTGAAACAATCCATTGTCCCTGTCACTCATAAAAACAAAACCTGTTACCCCCCCACTGAGGCCTAGCGGTCTCCCTAACCTCTACACCCCTGGTTCAAATCTGGTTTTTGACCTTTATTGCATGTCTCCTCATTTTTTAAGATATTTTATTTATAGATTTTCAGATTTTTACACAAACAGTACAGCTACAAGTCAGCCACCCCTCAGAGATGAACAAAAAAAGAACAAAACTAAATTTAAAAAAAAGCTCTCACAGGCTGTACGACCAGCAGGATGTTCTGACTGTCTACAGAATGAGATATACATACACATATTACTCATATGTTGTTATGATGAAGCATGTACACATACATGAAAACACTTTTGCCGATTCTGGATAAATGGGACATGAGCGGTTGCCATATTTTATCAAAGCTTACAGAGGTGAGAGAAACGCATGTCTCCTTATTTTAATGAGAGTTTGATTTAAGAGCTGCCAAAGAACCACGTTCATTTCTGTTTTATGTTTTGGTGTAATTTATCCTGCGGGATCGTCCAGGCAGGACGTGTTGTCTCATCTGTCACTTTGCTCCATCCATCACTCGCAGCTTCACTTTGTTCCTTCCTGACTTTGTTTCACTGTCAGTCTCAGGATTTATTGCTTATGTGTGGATGGAGAAAGTAGATCTAAGTTTCATTCTGACTGTTTGAGTTTCACTCTGAGTGTGTTTGGAAAGTTGGGCCGGTCCATTTCAGGCACTGCTGGTTTCTGGGAACAGGGTGGAGACCAGACAGGAAACACTTTGTCTCACTGTGCGTGGACGGAGAAGTGAGGTGGTACTTTTTATATTATACAGTAGTTAACTTACCTTCATCATGTGTTCAAATCACATTTAGAGACATTTTCTGCTTTAGTCTCTGGTTCACATCCTGTTTCAGGCCCTACAGTGAGAACTGTGCATCCAGCACCATGGCCAGAGGCAGCGTTAACTCTGATATGTTGCACACTGCTCTAAGATGTCTTCAGTGCTCTTAGTGTTGTCGTCAGGCATCAGATATATGGGTTTATTGATATGTTTCATTTTGCAGCTGCACTTTCTCATTCTCTCTTTTTGTTCTAGGCTCCTCACCAACAAAAGAAAAGTCACAGTTATCATGTTAAAGCCCTGTTGTATTTATTTCTTGATAAGAATTAAAACAAATGTATGCCCTCAGTGTCAATTTGGTATTGAATATAGATAGTTTTCTAGGTATTGAAGTCATAAATATCAAGTATTGTGACAGCACTTGTTGCAACTTCCAACATCTGTACTGAAATAAAAATACCACCACTTCTCTGTTAACTCCACAGCACGCAAAACATCATCTGAAAATCTTCTGAAGTTTTAACGTGACACTGAGAGGAGAAACATCTGTAGTCAGAGTTAAAATATGAGGCTGTCTGCTCTTTGGGACATCAGGAGAGTGTGTCATATAATCTGTGGGATTTCAGTTAAAGATTTTTGTCACATAATTTGAAGTGTGCCGACCTGCTGATAAACCCGGCCGGTGTTGGCTGTGGTCCCTGTTGTTGTTTCTCAGGCTCGTCGGTAATTCTCTGCGAATATTTGCCCTCTTGTTTCTGCAGCCTTTGAGTTTGGCTTCTTGCTACAGATAAATGAGGAGGCCGCGCTGGCAGCGGCCCTGAATGACTACCTAACCTCACGCAGCTACCTGGCTGGGTTCAGCCCCTCCCAGGCCGACCAGAAAGCCTTTAAGCTCCTCCGCAGGCCCCCAGATCCGCAGCATGTCCACGCTCTGCGCTGGTACAGACACATAGCCGCCCTGCAGCAGGACCTCAGCCCTCTGAGCAGCAGTGAGTAGACAGCTGAAGGCATGAACAGGCTTAGACGTGCTCACGCTCCCTCACGCACCGGCCTGGATGTTGAGGCAGGAAACATTAGGAAACTAAAGCAGCTCTAACCGGCCCCCTGCAGACACTGACATGCATGAACCCAGAATTATTTTGCATTGGAATGAATACATTTGCAGCTTTCTTTCACCTGTGTGTGTGTGTGTGTGTGTGTGTGTGTGTGTGTGTGTGTTGCCTGTAGCTGAGCACAGGTGAGAGTTAGTTTATCACTGTTTAAACAAAGCGTCAGCACACGTGTGAGTTCTGCTACCCAAAACCTGCAGTGCTCTGCAGACACAGATGTGTGACATTTACAGGAAATCAGATACAGTGTGTGTCAGAGTTGCACTGCATGTGTTCAGAGACATTTGAACGTCCTCACTGGGAGTTTGGGCTCTGTGTGGCTTTGACAGCTGCTGCTCTCCTGGTTTTAAAGTGTGTGTTTTCACTAATTGAACATGTTCAGCTGCATTCCTTTGAGAATAAGATGATTCACGTCACACTGGTTGCACCGACTAAAGGACAAAACGAGCAGATTGTGCTGTCTGCTCCAGAGCAGTCAGAGTGAACTAACTTTAACGTACAGCTCCATCATTTCTCACATTGCAGCAGCTGTTTTACTGGAGATTAGAGCTGAGCAAATGAGCATAACTGTCCCAGCTTGAGTTCCCTGAAAATAGTCATTTTTCTCCTGTTCACTGACGTGTTTACTTTGGAGAAGGAGACATGTTAAAGGGATAGTTCACATCTTTTCAAATGGGGTTGTATGAGGCACTTATCTACAGTCAGTGTGTTACCTACAGTAAACGTCAGTCTCTTAGTTTGGAGAAGCAGACAGGCGTACCGACACAGAAGCTCAGCGATGTCCTGCTGTGGACAGGCTGCAACAAAACATGTTTTAGACCCCTAAAAAGTTAGTATCAGTGTAAGTGTACATTATATTAAGAATATTCTCACTGCTTTACCTTAGTGTCAGTGATTTCCAACAGGTAAATGAAGCCGTCATATCTCTCTCTTCAAAGCCAGACTCCACTGAGAAAACCAGTGATTGTAGCATGCTGAACACAGGAGCTGCTGGTCGACTGCTGCCTCCATCAGTTTGTGTTGCTGTGTGACTTTGGTGTTTTAAAGGGTTAATTCAGATTCACCAAAGTCACACAGTAACACAAACACAGTGACTGATGGAGGCAGCAGTCGACCAGCAGCTCCTGTGTTCAGAGAGGTAAAGTCACTGGTGGACTTTAAGAGAGCGTAGATGGGGAACTGAAGCCGTTAACAGCTTCCCTTATCAGAAATCACTGTCTGACAGAAAGGGAAAGCAATGAAAATATCAGAGTTCCTATGGTCATGGAAAACCTGGGAAAGTCATGGAATTAGTCTGAAACAGTGGTTCCCAACTGGTGGGTCACAGGTCCACTGTGGAAGGACCGCAGGTGAAAAACACACTTTGTTTTGAAGTTAAATGACGAGAAAAAGTCCTTTCCTTGTGGAAAAATTTGAAATTTTGTCCATTAAAAATATTCTAAACATAGCGTACACTCAAACTGATAATACTTTTTAAGGTGTCTAAAATATGTTTTGCTGCTGACCTTGTCCACAGCTGTACACTGATGAGCTCTCATGGCGGTACTTCTGTCTGTTTCTCCAAACTGGAGGCGTGCCGACTGGCATCAACCATAGATACTACACTCACTATGGATGAGTCCCTCACACACTCCAAAGAACCAAACTCTCCCTTTAACCTCCGTGTTTGAGATGACAGAAAACATTCATCTCTACAGTTGTGCAAAACAGTCGAGGAAGTATTCAGTGCTTCACTTCTGCTGTTTTCTGCACAACAAGGTCAATATTTCCTTTAAAGCTTTACAGTCAGAGCTGCATTATTATTATAGTGAACTAACACTGAACTGAAAATTAAAACTAGGTGTGAACAAACATTTAGTTCACTGAAACCGTCTCAGGGCTGCTGTGACACTGAACCGACTTGGAGCGACAGAAAGTTTGTCTTGGGCACGTCGCTACAACAACAAGACAAGACAAACACTGATTTTTGTGCACTCTGAGCGCATGTTGTCGTGCACAGATTTCTTAAATAAATAGACTGTTTTTGCATGATCTCAGCATGTGGACCTTTTAGTGGCTTTGAGCACAGTTACATCAGTGTGTGGGTGTCTCCTCTGCCGTCCTTTCAATTCAATTGAATTCATCTGTCTTATAAAGCCCAATATCACAGATCACAGTTTGCCTCAGAGGCTTTACAGCAGACGACATCCCTCTGTCCTCTGGACCCTCACAGCTGATTGTTTATTAAAAAAAATGTTAGAAACAATTCACTGACATGAAAATAAAATCTAGACATCAGAAAAAAACTAAACTGAAATAAATACAAAAAATTAAAATGAAATAGATTTTTAACAAATAAACCAGATTCAGTAAAAACAAATTAATAACATCATTTTTAAGGTAAAACATTTTTTATTACGTTGTGATTTAAAAGCAGGATGCAGTCGGGATTATGAAGCAAATACAACTTTAATTTACGAGGTGTGCTCTGCGTCTTTTTAACTGAATTTTTATTTTTTAAGAATTCAGTTTAAGGAAAATAAAAAACTTCTTGGTGAGTTCTCTAGTTGTTACTTTTCCCTTGTGTCGACATATATGGATTCATCATGTACTCACTCTGTCACAGCTTCAGTATGACGTCAATCAGTATAATAATACTTGAAATTTGCAGATACTTTTTGGTCACAGTAGAGCTGAAACATTTAGTGTTTATTAATATTAATTGATTAGTCAAATATCAGACAAGCGTCTGCAACAGTTTCTTGTTTTAGATAAAGACCCTCTTCAGCTTCTCAGGTCATATTTGCAACTTTTCTTTGTTTTACTATAGTAGATTCAACATCTTTGGGTTCTGGACTGTTGGTCAGACATTGCCGACGGCCTTTATCACTTCTTTCTGATATTTTACAGACCAAACAATCAATTGACAGTGAAAACGATCGATAGTTTCAGCCACATTTGACAGTAATGGTGAATTACTGATGCAAGGGGGCAAAAATTCAGACCTGTATTAACCTTTCTTCCAGTGTTTCTCTTGTTGTGTGCAGTCGTGTGTTTCTCTATCTGTCAGACTGTGTACTGACAGCGTGTGTTAAATTTAAAGCCTCTGTGTGTGAAATATTATGTGAGAATAACGTCATTCAAATCAGCATTGTTAAGTTTTCATCTGCAGAAAAACTGGACAATCCCAGTTTAAACAGTTGCAGTTAAATCCTTCACATGGAGGCTTTAAAATCTGTAAAGCATTAAAGAAGCAGGAAGTGTTTTAAAACTGCCTTTTTATGTCACTTTAGATTAATTTTAGCCTTTTATAATGATTTTTCTGTTTTGTTCCAGCGAAGGGAAAGCGGGTTCAGCCCCCCTGGTCTCCACCAGCAGGAACAGATGTTCCCCAACTTAAACTGTACAACAGTTTGACGAGAGCGAAGGTAAGATGGAGGCAAAGGTCAGCTCCTCGTCAGCGTGTGTGTTCACTGTCTCAGGAAGAATCAACTCTTTAACAAAGACAGAGAACAGAGAAGGAGCTGATGATGTGCTTATATTTTATTCCTTAATATTAATTTTCACACCTACACCAAGGATTTGATTCTTTTACTCTGTACTCACAGCTCACTTGTTAATTGAGATCTTGATCTCAGCGTGACTTCCTGATTAAATAAAGTCTAGGTAGTTGTTTGAGGGGGTGTAATGGTGCAGAAACAAGACTGAGACGCAGTCACATTTAAACAAAAAGCTCCAAACTGTTTCAGCAACATGAATCCTCACTGGGACATTCAACATTCTAAGCACGAAAAATACAAGACATCTTCTTTTGTAGCGTGCGTCTTGTTTCCACATTAAAAGCTCATGAACACACTGAAGTGTGACGAGAACAACTTCCAGACTCAGGAAACAGGACCATGTGAGCAGCACCTGAATGCAGCATAATTCTCAGATTATTCTGTGATGAACTCGTTGATGACATTGTCGTCATTTTTATGTTTCAGGAGCTGTTTGTTCCCCAGAAAGGGAACAAGGTGACTTGGTACTGCTGCGGGCCGACAGTGTACGATGCCTCACACATGGGACACGCCAGGTAAACATGTCACAGCTAAAAGGATTCAACATGTAACTGTTTTCATTAATTTATATTCTGCTGTAATAAGATTTCCTGATTCGTCGCTCTGTTCAGGTCCTACATTTCCTTTGACATCCTGCGAAGGATCCTGAAGGACTACTTCAAATACGACGTCCTCTACTGCATGAACATCACAGACATAGATGACAAAGTGAGTCACAGACACTTTACATAAACCTGTTTATTTCACATCATTTATGTTTCTTTTCCTGTTTACAGTTTTGTCCTCAGAGATCAAATCGTCATGACTCAGACTTTCTATCATCCTGACGTCAAAAATCTGTTTTACAGCAGCGTTTAATACAGAAGAGGAAACACTTCTCATGTTTGTGAACGTCTTTTTAAAGCCAACTGAAAGGCAAAAACATGACGGCAGGAATAAAACAAATGCGTCACACCTTCAATGTTGTCCTCATATTATCATATCTTCCTCATACCTTCATTTTCACATCTGTAAAGTGTTTTTTAAGGATCACAATAAAACATCCTGGCATCAGAGATCAGGGGAAACATTTAAGATAGGATATTAAACTTTTAATTGGCTTGTAGTTATTAATACATACTGTAGAGCTGCAACAATTAATTGTTCAGTTGTCAACTATTAAATGAATCGCCAACAAATCTGATGATCAGTTCATTGGTTTGAGTAATTTTTTTAAAAGATAAAACAAGTCAAAATTATCTGATTCCAGCTTCTTAAATGTCAATATTTTCTGTTTTTTCCTCCTCTGTGACGGTAAACTGAATGTCTTTGGATTGTTGGACAAAACAAGACATTTGAGGACGTCATCAGGGCATTAGGAAACACTGATAAACGTCTGTGGATATTCTCATTTATCCAGGTCAATTCCATTGTGGCAACAATTAAATCGTAGGCAACTGGACTTTGATTTTGTCTAGAAGACGTTTCGCCTCTTGTCCAAGCAGCTTCATCAGTTCTCAATGCATCAGTTTGACTAGTCCTCACTAGTCTGACTGATAAATGTGTTTTACCATTTTCTCACATTTATCGACCAAATAACTTATCGATTAATCAAGAAAATAATCGATAAGTTGCAGCACTATTATTATCTCTGATGAACTGGGCGTTTTCAGGAGGAGGTTTTAAAGAGTCTGGGGCTTAAACAGAGCGTCTCAGATGGAGGGTGGATACAGGACAGGATGAGGAAATTAAAAAGTTATTTGAACATTTAAACATGTAAACATGTAGAATCCCAAATTACAAGTATGAACCTGAAAATGAGCAGAATCTGTCCCTTTTTAGCAGCAGTTCCATACAGAGCATCTCATTACATTTCCTTTCGTGTTTTGTCTTCCTGTCTCAGATCATCAAGCGAGCCCGACAGAACTACCTCCTGGACCAGTACAAGGAGAAGCAGCCGCAAGCTGCTCAGATCCTGCAGGACGTCCTGAGCGCCAGAGAGGTGAGAACAAACTCCAGAGCGGTCTGAGAGACAACGACAGTCACAGCCTCAGTGATGGGGTTAAACTCTCTGTGTGTCCAAACAGCTGACAGAGGAGGAGTTAATGTACAATCAACTCTGCTTTTTATTTGACAGACTGATCTGTGCTTGGACACAAACATGTTTTGTTGCACTTATAGTGACACAAACTGTATTCACTCACTCATTGTTCTCAGTAAACACATTAATTAATCTGACACTGAATGCAGAAGTCTGTCTGTATTAAGTTATTGACCTTAATGTGAAGAGGGCCACCACCCTGTGCATTGTTCAGTTTCCTTTCTGAACAGAAAGTGTAGTTAAAAAAAGAAACTCTTTTCCTGCAGCTACAATGAAACTCTAACGACCTCTGCAGCCTGTGAGTTTCCGTGTGGGGCCGTAAAGTTTATCAGATCAGATGTTTGGGAAGAGACAGGTTAACCACCGCCCGCTGTGATTGGTCAGACACTTTACCTGTGTACTGTTGCATCAGACAAACAGACACGACTCTGAGTGTGAATATCTTCAAGAGAAGTTTAACAGTAAAAACACAAAATCGTAATATTGATGATTTTACAACTTTAAATCATGTGCAGGCTTCTGTCTTTTTACTTACTCACTTGTGTGTGTGTGTGTGTCTGTCTCAGCCCTTCCGGGTCTACCTGGCTTCAACGACGGACCCTGATAAGAAGCAGATGCTGGAGAGGCTGGACGTTGCTGTGACCGCCGCTCTGCAGCCCCTGCAGGCAGCGATGGAGGGCAAAGCAGCAGATGAGGTCGTACAACCTCTGGCCCAGGTGAGATGGAGCACACGTGGAGTTGGCTCAGAGGGATAGTTCGGATCTTTTGAAGTGGGGTTGTATGAGGTCTATAGATGACGGTCGGCATGCTCCCTGTTTGGAGAAGCAACCACAGAAGCTGCTGTGGACGGGTGCAGCAGTAAAATATATTTTAGACACTTAAATAAATCAATATCAGCTTAAATTGTGACGGCTTTACCTTTTACGTCAAACAGCCTGATCAGGCTTCAGTTCCCCAGCTATGCTCTCTTCAAAGCCACAGTAATTTTAGCTCAATGAACACAGGAGCTGCTGGTCGACTGCTGCCTCCATCAGTAACGTTTGGTTGTGACTATGGTGGATGTGAATTAACCCTTTCATACACCCAAAGCAACACAATAACACAGACAGATTGATGGAGGCAGCATAGACCAGCAGCTCAAGAAGTCTGACTTTGAAGAGAGTGATGTAATGGCTCCATTTCACTGTCTGACAGAAAGGTTGTCAGGACAGAGGCGCAGTAATGTGTAACCTCTTAAGCTCCACCCTTTAATCCAAATGTGGTCACTCCTGGCTCCAAAAAAACAAGATGGTGACAGCCGAAAATTCAAACTTGAGGCTTCAAAACAGGAGTCCACAAACCAATAGGTGATGTCACAGTGGCTGTGCCCATTATTTCATACAGTCGTTAGTGCTGATGGATACATTTTTAATTTTATACACTTTATTAATCCCCCTGAGGGGAAATTCAATTTTTTCACTCTTGCTGTCAATTACACACAGGTCCGAAAGACACACACATGCACAAACAGGACCTATACATGCACAAAGTGGAGAGATGTCAGAGTGATTGATCAGTGAAATTGATCAGTTACTGTAAAGAAAAAAAAAAGAAAAACATTTTCTGGGCTTTAATATTTTCTTTCTCTCTTCTAAGGTGCTGTTGGAGAACTCCAAGGACCTGCTGTCTGACTGGTTGGACAAGAAGTTTGGAAGTCAAGTCACAGAGAATTCAATCTTCTCCATCCTCCCGAAATTCTGGGAGGGAGAGTACCATAAGGACATGGAGGCTCTGAATGTGAGTAGAAGCAACGCAAAGTGTTTCACAAGGTCCCAGAAATACAATGTTTCAGGTCATGTGGTGTTCACTGTCATATTGTTGTCACTGTGCATAAATGATCTTTGTGACCTGCAGGTTCTTCCTCCAGACGTTCTCACTCGAGTCAGTGAATACGTACCGGAGATTGTGGAGTTTGTGGAGAAGGTCATCTCGAATGGTTACGGGTGAGGACGAGTTAACAGTTTATATTACGCCCACAGTGTCAGTTGTTAAAGGGTAACTTTGATACCCTACTGTGTTTCTGTATCACAGAGACTAATGGAGACAAAGATTTTTTAAATCGGTCCAGTTCTGAGGAGAGAGCGCTGCAGCCGGCAGCAACAAAACAATCTGTGATGTTAATGTCACACCGTCAGTGCACGTTCATTAAGACCACGAAGCCTTTCAGCTCTCCCAGGCTTAGAGGTGTTGAGAGATTGCTTCTCACGTTTACACCAGTTTTGAGGTTTTTATGTGTAAAACAGGAGGTGCAGACCCCGTCATATGTGTAGCTGTGTATCGCTCCCCCAAACACAAGGCCATCTGCCTGACTGAGTTTTTATCATCAGTTGTTTTAAACTTTGACAAAATCTTAATCGCGTGGACTCAAACCAGAGCAAGGGCTGCTGAATTTCTTGGAACAATCGACTCCTTTAACTTTACTCAGCATGTTTCCATCCCAGCTCATAACTGTGACTATTCCCTGGACTTAGTATTCACACTTGGCCTGACTGTTACCTCTCTGAATGTGGATGCTTTGGGTCTCTGACCACAGGCGTAGCATGTTCTCCACCCTGTTTCACAATGTTCCCAACCCTGAGTTACCTGTCTGTTACTCCTGCTCTGTAAATTAATCCACAGCAAGTCATTTTAAAGATGCTTCCACTGCCTCCTCTCTTTTAAATACTGTAATTGGCCGTCCCCTTCACTTGAGCACAGAACAACTAATCACAGAGTTTAATTCAATTTGTGGAGACATTTTGGACTCTGTTGCCCCTCTCACACTCTGAACACCTCGCACTATAAGTCAGCTATGGCTGAATAGTCAGACCCATGCTCTCAGGAAACTACATCGAGAGGCAGAACATAAATGGAAAAAAGACAAACTTCAAGTCTCACTTGAGGTCCTGAGAGGCACCGTGGCAAACTATCAGCAATCTGTTAGTTAATAAAACACTTTGAGTGGACGAACATTGTCTGTGTGAACATGCTCTGAGTGGTTACTGCACAGTTTCACTGCTGCCAGCTGCTGCGCTCTCTCTCAGTGCTGCAACAATTTCAAGCTTGTTGCTCCCATCAGTCACTTAGAAACTAAAACATGGAAAAAAGGTCCAGATTGAAAAATACTGAAGTTAAGATTTAAATGAACAGTTTTAATTATTATTTTTTCTGATGTTTTCAGGTATGAATCAAACGGTTCTGTGTACTTCAACACTGCAAAGTTTGACACCAGTCCACAGCACTCGTACGCCAAACTGGTGCCAGAGGCGGTCGGAGATCAGAAGGCTTTACAAGAGGGAGAAGGTAGAGTGTTTGCACATTTTAACCAACGGAGCTTTTTTCTTTTTTAATGTTTCTTTACGTAGGATTTTGGCTCAAGTTTTTGTTTCTAGAAAATATAAGTCCGTAGGGTCTTTTTTGATCCGACTACTAAGAGTCAGAAATCTTTCAATCTAGCACACAGAGGTTTTAACATGTGGCTGAACTGTATTAGTGTTTTTATATGCGGGTTGCTGTCGTCATGTCGGTCTTCTGTGTGTGTCTTGTGGCCCTGCAGGAGACCTGAGCATCTCTGCTGACAGGTTAAGTGAGAAAAGGTCCCCCAATGACTTCGCTTTGTGGAAAGCCTCCAAGCCTGGAGAACCTTCATGGGACTCTCCATGGGGAAAGGTGAGAGGTCACTCTGAGTGTTGGTGTGTTGCTGAACTGACAGTTTGATCCAGAAAGTAGAAACTGAGGAACCTCCTGTTGTGACTGATGCAGCTTTGATTTCCGTTCTTTTGAATGCTGTGAACAGGGAAGGCCGGGCTGGCACATCGAATGTTCGGCCATGGCCGGCTCGATCCTGGGAGCGTCCATGGACATCCACGGTGGGGGGGTCGACCTTCGATTCCCCCATCACGACAACGAGTTGGCTCAGTCTGAGGTACTAAAGCAAAGTCTTTCTTTGTCTGTTATTGGAAATATTTGCTCCTGTTTGTCTCTGCAGAACATTAACTGGCCGAGCTGAGATGATTAAAGATGATGAATTGTTTCCAGTCAAAGAGAAAGTAAAGGACCATTATCGGTTTGTTTCCCTGACAGGCTTTCTTTGAGAACGACCACTGGGTCAGATACTTCCTGCACACCGGACACCTGACCATCGCCAGCTGCAAGATGTCCAAATCTCTGAAGAACTTCATCACTATTAAAGACGCTCTGGCAAAGAACACAGGTGAGTCATCACACCTGTTTCATTATCATTGAAGCAGCAAGTCAGGCCTCTTTTAATATTATTTTTATCTGTTCACAGAAATAATCCACTCAAAGAAGTTTAAAGTTTTACCAAAAATCTGGAGTTTTTTTTTAAGCATCAGCATATTTAACCAGTATATTCTGACACACAGCCTCCCTCCAGCAGGATGAGTCCACGTCTGCTGCTCCAAAACTGTATCTCTTTAACACATATTCAAAGTTTAGCAGCAGAAATCAGCATTGCTTTACAGACATATGCAACATGTGTCAACCTGTGTGTGGACAAGTGTTGCAAATCGCAAACACTAAACACAGTGTGTATGGATTTCTGTGCATAAGTGTACAAGTCTAATGTCACTGTGTCACTGTGACGTCCATATCAAACCAAATAAACTTAAAAAACACATCAACAGTTCAGCATCAGGTCTTATTTAGCAGCACTTAATGAAAATCAGATTGTCTGTAGTCTCATTAAATACTTTGTTGAACTGAAAAGGTTGTGGTGGTGCAACATGTGGCGTCAGAAATGTCTCCTGTGTGTGTCGGAGCTTCATGTGGACGTTGATAGAACCATGTGGTAGAAGACAGCAGCCAGTTTCACATCACAGTGTCTCACACATCATCGATCAATGATTTAATCCAAACACAGAGGGATCAGATTATCATCAGAGTGTTTTGTTACTGAATCCGATCCATAAAAGATTCTCTTGTCGTTGTCCTGCAGCTCGTCAGCTCCGTCTGGCCTTCCTGATGCATTCCTGGAAAGACACCCTGGACTACTCTTCCAACACGATGGAGTCTGCCGTTCAGTACGAGAAGTTAATGAACGTAGGTGACGATGTGACCAACAGGCCTTTTAGTTTAGAGGATGGTGTAAATGTTTTACTGATGTGCTGTTTGTGCCTTTTTATCAACCAGGAGTTCTTCCTGAACGTGAAAGACATCATGAGAGCTCCGACTGACATCACCGGGCGCTTTGAGAAGTGGGAGGCAGCAGAGGTGGAGCTCAACGACAGGTGAGATGGTGAAAACACAAGCTGGAGACATCTGAGGGTCTTAAAACAGTCAAGTTCTTCAGACGTGTTTGTTTTTTAAAAAAAGACCTGTAATAAAAACCTGTATTTATGAAGAACTTTTCAAAAACAACGTGCTGTAAGAAGGCAACAAAATAAAACTGACAAGTCATGAAACCAACAGGTCGTTAAAAGAAAAGCTTTCAGTCGATCAGACCTTCATCAGACGGAACATGAGCCCACAATGGACAGACTGGTTAAAGTAACCAACCCCAGTCTAATCACTGGCAGGATGCAACACACCTGTGCACATCCCTGGTGGCTGAAGCTCCACCTCCTGGGAGTTGTAGTCTTTTCAGATGGCAAACTGGACTTATTGGCTGAATCCAAACGTCCAGACTTCAACGCAACTTGGAGACTTTGCAGGTGCGTTCCCGGGAAGTCTGGGAGTGTTGTCCAAGTCTACACTTCATCCAGTCCACAGGGGGCTCAGGTGGACTTTCTGCAGACCTAAGCAGACTTCACTGATTTGATAACCCTGATAAAAGTGTTTAAGAAGGGACTCCACCCTCTGGTCCACATTTGGTCACTTCTAGCTCCAAAAATCCACGATGGTGACGGTGAAAATGCCCAACTTCAAAATGATATTAGAAAAACCAACGGGTCATGTCACAGTAGCTGCGTCCATTGTTTTATACAGTCTATAAATGAGACACATATTCTGAAGGTGCTGTTTACATGTCTTAAAGAACGCTCCTAAAACCTGGAAAGTATGAACATATCCCATGTGTCATCTGAAAATGCTTCAGAATATTAAACAGAATATGTTGTTTACATGACCCTGATCTAATTCACAATATTGTCATACTGGGGATAATATCAGTGTGCATGTGATCGTAGTCGCTGTCTGGAGACTCATCCGAACTCTACCTTTGATCCAGTAAGAAAAACTAGCAGCTGAAGGGTTTCTTGTGTCGTCCAGTTTCTACGACAGGAAGGCAGCCGTCCACGAGGCGCTGTGTGACAACGTGGACACTCGCACCGCCATGGAGGAGATGAGAGTGCTGGTCAGCCAGAGCAACACCTACATCGCTGGCAGGAAGGCCGCCAAGCTGAGGCCCAACCGCATGCTGTTGGAGAGTATCGCCGTGTATCTGACCAACATGATGAAGGTGAGGACGGTTCAACTGCTGTCATCATCACGCTGATCGTCACAGACAAATCTGTGTTTCACAGAGCAAGTTTACACTAAATCAGTGAATTGAGGGAAAGCACTGTTGCACTGACCTCTGTGGGTGGAGACGTTCAAGCACTTCTTTCAACACCACACACGTTTACCTGTGACCACGCCCAAAAGCCTTTACATCTTTTAAGTCATTACAGATTTTTTCAGGACATTACAGTACTTTTTTGGGGGGGGTTGCCATGGGTCTGAAAAGTACTTGAAAATGCTTGGAGTAAAGAAAAACACAGAACTTGAAAGCCCTTGGATTTTAAAGAGGTCCTTAAAAGTGCTTGTTATGTTGAAACTATTAGATACACAAACAAAGTAAACAAATCACAAGCATAAACAATAATACAAATAAAATGGCTGTAAGCGGCGTTCCAGGGGTTCAAGCCAGCGTGGACTGAAATTGAAATTTATTAAACTTAAATGAACAAATAACAAACGGAGTGTGTCGGTCAGTAAGCCATGCACGGGTGTGTGACAGGTGAGCTGTGGAGGTGTTGAAGGTGCAAACCTTCATGACAGGTGGATGTTTGCTGCAGGAAGGGAGAGAGCAGGGGAAGCTCTTGTAGCCTGGAAGCCCAGGTGAGCTCAGTCAAGGTGACGACCCTCTCATGTCAGCCAGCTGCAGGCAGTGGGCGGGGCTTCACAGGAGTTCAGGAAAGTGAGTATCAAGCAGTGAGGTAGGGTCAGCAGGAGATGGTGAAACCCCCGACCCCAAAGCAACATCAAAATGTTGCTGTCAGGCCCAGGTGAGCTTCATCAAGGTGACGACCCTCTCATGTCAGGCAGCTGCAGACAGTGGGCGGGGCGTCTCATCTGATTGTGTTGTGCCACACCCACTTGCATGTGTAGCGCCCCCTAGTGGTCGACTTCAGAGAAACTTTCAGGGTATGTTTAAGTTACTTACCCAGACATTTCAATTCAAGGTTCATGATGACTGACCACCTGTTGTGGAGTTGGGTCTATTTATGTGCAGAGCCACGCCCCTTTTAAAGATCATTGATCAATATCTTCAAAACACAGCGATATCAACAAGCTTCTGATAACTGTTGATAACCATTCACCAATCCATTTATTTTCAACCGCATATCTGGGGCCAGGTCTCGGGGGCAACAGGCTGAGCAAAGCACCCCAGACGTCCTTCTCCTCAGCAACGCTTCCCAGCTCCTCCTAGAGGGCCCCGAGGTGTTCCCAGACCAGAAGAGATATATCATCCCCCCAGTGTTGTCTGGGTCTGCCCCGGGGCCTCCTACCAGCTGGACGTGTTAACCTCGCTCCAAATATGATCCACAGAACATTTGGTACTAATCAGATCTACAGTCAGGAGGGGTCAGAAATGTGTTTTTCAACAAAATTCAAAATGGCAGAATATCTAGTTCTTGTGTGTTTTTCAGAGAGCGCACAACTGGTGGACTCGTGCGTCAGATTTCAAGTGAATCTGACTTATGGTGTGAGGGGCGTGGCCTTTACTACATCTAATTTGGGGCCTTAATTCCAGCGCCACCATCAGGCCGTCTGGTGTGCAGCATTTGCACACAGCTTCCAATCATTGGTGAAAATTTGTGTGTACATGACTTCCTGCTGTGTGTTACATCAGCAGTGACATGAATCTGTTGTCATGTAGATATTTGGTGCCATTGAAGGATCGGAGCCCATCGGGTTCCCAGTCGGAGGACAAACTCAGAACATTGATGTGAGTAAAGAGACACTTCTCTCTGCTTCTGTTGTTTATGGAAATATGATTATTGTTTCAGGATTATCACCAGACATGTACTGCTCATGAATACATTTCTAAGAAATCAATAATCAAAATATCTTGTGTCAACGTGTTCGTCCTCTCACTAACGTCCCACTGTGAGAGATTCTGTGTCTCTGTTTGTCCCAACAAACCAAACCCTGACAGCCTGCAGCTGCCTCGCCCAGCTGCCACTCAATGACTAAACGTCTGTAGTTTCAGTTCTAGAAAAAGTTTTTATGCCTTAGTTGATTAAAATCTTGTTTTGCTGTGTTTGCCAGCTGGAGAGCACGGTGATGCCGTACCTCTCAGTGTTGTCAGACTTCAGAGAGGGAGTCCGAAAAATTGCCCGGGAGCAGAAAGGTAAGAATGTTTTACATGTGAGTGTCTGAACGTCTGTTCTCCTATAGTCTCTGCTCAGAACATCATGTCAGTGTCAAATCAGAGAAGGTGCAAACGTCTCTTTTTACCTTCAGTTTTAATTAGTCCTTTGTTAAACTCATGCAGTGATGGAGCTGCTGCAGCTGTGTGATGTCATCCGTGACGATACGTTGCCGGAGCTGGGGGTCCGTCTGGAAGATCATGAAGGTAACACAACTTCAATATTCTGATAATCATCAGTTTTTAAAGAAAATATATTGGCTTTGACTTTTTATGCACAATAAGCATGAGTGGGTCATTTTGTAAAAATAAGTGACTCCAAAACTTGATTTGAAAAGGTTTAAAAACGAGGATCAACACAGAAACACTTTCTCTTTTTGTAAAAACGTAATGACGTAAAGTCTCTGGTTAATGAAACAGTGACTGTGTTGCAGGTCTGCCCACTGTGGTGAAACTGGTGGACAAGGAGACATTACTGAAGGAGCGAGAGGAGAAGAAACAGGTACGGAAGCACAGAGAGTTGTTGACTAGAGATGATGCGCCGTCTCATGGTGGTCACTTCCTGTCAACGTTACAGATCAGAAGCACAGAGAGTTGTTGGCTAGAGATGATACGCCGTCTCACAGTTTCAGTGACTTTTGGTTAAAGTTCTGTTTTCTCTGTCCCAGATGGAAGAAGAGAAGAAGAGGAAGAAGGACGAAGCTGCGAAGAAGAAAGAGGAACAAGAGGTCCCTCAGTTTGTTCCATACAGAGACGTTTTGTTCCTCTGATATCAAACATCTTCATCACTCGTCTCGTCTGTTTCTGTTTCAGATGGCCAAACTGGCGAAGATGAAGGTTTCTCCAAGTGAAATGTTCCTCACAGAAACCGACAAGTATTCCAAATTCGACGAAACGGTAAAACCCTCGACTACTTTTCACTCATGATAATCACACTGCTTTTTTCCAGGTAAAGAATTCTTATAGTTTGATGAAGAAGAATTTAGACATTCACACCTTCATCAAACAGATTTGAATCAAACGAGCCATTGCTTTACACTGTGATGACGTCATGGATTTCAAATCACTTTTCTCGGCTTAAGGAAAGTTTTATAAATATTATGGCTCAAAAATTCAGAATAGAAAGAGTCACAATTGACCTTGTTTGCAGTTGGAGGTGTCAACACTTTCACATACGTCTCTTATAATAGTGGCCCACAGGGAAAATGCTTTTTGAGTTGTTGCATTACCACCAGTGGCCACTGGGAAAAATCAGTTGCAAGGTGGAGCAGCTTTCCTGGGAGCCTGCACCCGACTGAAGACTCTGCTCCGCCAGCTGTTTCTGGTCCTTATATCCTCCTGAGACCCTGCGTCCTCATATGAAGACATCACACTTTGGGTTTGCTGCACCTTAGACTTCATTCTGTTTAACTCAGACCTGTTGTCCTTGTTCAGGGACACTTTTTGTGCCATCTAGTGGCAGCAAGAGCACAGTACACCAATCCATATAAAACCAAGATTGCAGCCATCTCTGCCAAGTCAGTCTGCAGCTGATCTCAGGACAGAGGTGGACAAGGTCCAAAACCTGATCACATGTTGTGGTAGAAACCTGTTTATTTATGAGTAATTACATTTTGAGTTTAATACGGCAACAAATTTGACCAATTTTAGTGACAGAAACAAGATAAGACGCTGTCAATCAGGAAGCACTCATCTGAGGACATTAGGACATTTATCGTCATCTCATAACATGAGCAGTTTTATACTTTATTGCACACTTGTGAATATTAAAATTAAAGCCATCATCCTGTATGAGGTCATCGGTCTGTTGTTGTTTTTGCAAACACTACTTCCTGTTCAACACATTAGGTCCGTCTGACCAAATTAAAAAATGCTCACCAAACAAAAGCTGAGGTCTCAGGAGGATGTTCACATCGTGGCAGCAGATGAAACACATTGATGAGAGTTTGATTTTCCTTATTATCTGTAGGTCGTGTTACGTTTGTGCTGCAGCGAGATGGAAACTGATCAGAGTGATGTTAAGACTTGCATCTTCTTTCACAGGGTTTCCCCACTCACGATGTGGAAGGGAAGGAGCTGAGCAAAGGACAAGCCAAGAAGCTGCGCAAACTCTACGAGACCCAGGAGAAACTTCACAACGAGTATCTGCAGATGGACCAGAACGGAAACTGAGTGTCTTTACAAACTGCCGAGCCATCCACCGTACACAGAACATACAGAATAAATGTCAAGGCCAGAGATGCTGAGTCAGCCTTTGTCTCCTCTTTATCTGTTTCGGACCAGAAAACAACTTTTTTTTTTCTCAGTTAATTTCAGAATGACGGTTAAAATCTTCATAACCAAAGTCCACACATCGTTTATCAAAGTGAGGATGATGAAGTCGAGGGGAGCATGAGTGAAGGAGACTTCCTCCTTGTTCTGTTTCTCCACAATAGTTTTATGATGAGACAGTGAAGCAGAGCGCTAACTCATCAGCGCTCTGCTTCACTGTCTCCAGATGTTTTATAGATGTTTGACTGCAACTCTGTAGCACTGCCAGTCGGTTAAAAGAGTACATTTATTTCTTACTGTGTGTTTTAAACTTACTACGAGTTAAAGGCGTCATGTAGGATAAACCTCCAGTCTGCACAGACGGGTGACACGTTAAAGGAAAAAACAATACTTAGACGTTCCAACACGGAACAGCTCCAGAGCTTCATGTCTCTGAGCTCTGCTGGAGGGATGAACATCGATCTCCTAAAACATGTTTCCACATTTAGCATTTGATTTACAAAACCTCCGACAGGTGCTGAGTCTCGTTTGAAGGCTCCAACAATGATTCTCATACTCATTATAAAAGCCCTCAGTGTTTGAACACATCTGCATTCCTTATGTTTCCTCGTTTATTCTGATTTTTCTTTCATCTGTCGCCTGTCTGTAGCTGTGTGTAGAGATTTTAATTGGCTGAAGGTGTTCGAGCTGCAACTAATTGTGTTTTTATTATCAATTAATTTGGCAATTATTTTCTCGGTTTGATTAAAAACATAAAAAATGCACGTTGTTATATAATTTCCCAAAACCAAAAAGTATATATATATTATTAGTTTGTTAGTTTCAGTCCTTGTTAACAATTTTCCAAAAGTCATGCACATTGTAAAGAACAAGTAACATCCAGGGATTCAATTAAAAAAGGAAAAAATGCAGAAAATAAAATAATAAGATAACTGAAGCTTATTATCCAAATCCTTTCTACTCAGCATATTCTCATAATTAACTCATTTACTGTTAGGCTGAAGGTATGCAAAAAAAAACTCCAAACATATTCAGTTTACTGTCACGTATTATCGGAGAAGCTGAACCAGCAAATATTCAGCACCTTTGCCTGAAAAATTACTCAAACAGTTCACCAATTTTGGAAATTGTTAGTCCATCAGTCAGTGGACTAACTGTTGCAGCTCCAGAACACAGGTTTGGACTAGTATTGAATCTGTCGCGACAGTTTTTGTGGAGTTGACATTTTTGTGATTTTTTTTTTTCCCTCTGTTTCTTTATACAACCATTTAAATTTGCCACTGAAAAAAATATAAATAAAAAATATAAACCTTTTATTTAAAAAAAAAAAAAGCTTTTAGTTCAGTTAACTTTTATTTTTATGGACTCTCACAAAATGCAAATCGGTATCAGCTGATATGAGCAGAAAAATAACAGGTGATTGTAATTAAACAAATTTGCTGCCGCTTGATGCAGAAATAAAAATAACCCAGTCACTAGAATAAATATCAGCATTGTGCGTTTCTGCAAACCACATGTACGTATGTATACATTATTATGTAGCACAGGGACGTGAAACGTTTGAGCAGTGGTTCCCAACTAGTCCAGATTTCTCTTTTGTCATTCGTTTTAGGTCCACACAGTTTAATATATTCAGCGTCATACTTCAGCAGCAAGTTGAACAATGCGTTGCAGAGGCTTTTCCACCCCGACCAGAACACAGCTCTCTGATGTAACAATGAATATTGACTGTGACCATGTTTGAAGATATTAAACATTGTGCAGAATATTGCCAATCAGCAGCTTCAGTTCAAAAGAATTTGTATCAGGAAATGTTTGGATAAATGCACGTGTCATGACAGAGAGGAGCAGACTGAGTGAACGTGGAAAAACTGAGACACACTGTTGAGTTTGCACTTAATTTTCTTAAGATGTCTCAGGCTGTTCATCTGTTTTGTAAAAGGATGAATGTCGACAGAATGTACTTTAATTCTTTACACAAAAAAGGGAAAATATTGGAGCTGATGTTACCTTTAGGTTACTGTGCGATTGTTTCAATGGTCCAAGCCATCTGAAATCAAATCGTTGGTGTTTGTGGCCCATGACCTAAAATAAGTTTGACACCCCTGATGTAGCGAGTGTGTTGAAACTTTACATCTCAGCAACACTCCGGTCAACGTGTGGTAACGTTCAGGCAAAAACATAACCTCAGGATGTGGTTAAAAGATGCTGATTTGGCTTAAAATACCTGCTTCTAGTGGCACAACCTCTCCTGGAGAAACTACAACAGGTCGCTAATAAACACCCACATTTGGTGACTAAAAAGTAGCCGGACACGCAGCAATGAATCACAAGTGCTTCTCTTGTTTGTCGGTCTGCAGCCCGTCAGGCATCTCCCAGCTGTCACACCATCCACCCTCCACCTCCTCATGACACAGTCAGCTCATACACCACATCACTTAAGAGATATGTATGAGACGTACAGATGTATTAGTGCTCTGCAGAAACGTACAACGCCATATTTTCCTCTGGTGACCAAACTATTAAAGACCATCAGTGAATCGTTGGCTAAACTTGATGATGATTCCTTCACACTCAAATCTACCTGACAAATACTGAACGAGCTGTCATATACTTTCCTGTATCACTGATATTTGATATTTACCAGCTACTGTATAAGAGATTCTCTGTACCTCAAAGATTTTAGGTTTTTTTATTTCCAGTGTTTTTTGGTTCATTCCTTGTTTGAGTTCCATGATGTGTACGCTTACCAGTTGTGCACAGTTTTTGAGGACACAGCTGTTGATGTTCTGAAAAGACCAAAACCAACAGTGTCAGTTTGTCTCTCGACACTCTGACTCCTCGACTGTGTTACTGTCACTCAGCCTCAAACCCATCAATTCCTACTCACTGAAATATTTAGAAACAGTTCACAAATATATCGTCTCATTCACATTTGTAGGGGACTATTTTCATTTCATTTCTTTTCATTGAATTTATTAACAACAGTAAAAATACATAATGTCACCAGATTTATCTTTTAACTCTGTGCAGCTGTTTTTATCATCGTCCTGGTGAAATATAATCCTCTCTCCACGTGGCCTCGAGCGAAACCACACAAAGAGGAACTTTTTATTATCCAGCCGTCCATTAGGCTCCTGTGTTTTGTACTGTTTGTGTGATGCAGTTTCATGGTCATGTGAAGGCGCAGCAGATGAGATGCTCAAATAAAAAAGAGACCATAAATGCTACTGATTTCCTTTTAATAAATAAAATTGGTCATTGTAAACTCTTGAGTTGTCAGACATGTCGACTTTTGTCCTGAACCACCTGTGATGTCATTAGTGCAGCGGCTTGAATAACATCTCTGTAAAAAAGAAATGAGATCAATTTATTTTAAAGTTCTGTGAGTCTCTGGTCCAAACTGAAGGTGTAGATTTTCAGCCTGGTGACTTTACTGCCCAATCTTAAAGCGTAATGTGTTTTAGTGTCTAAGTGACTAATGAGAAGAGCATTTATTTAAATTGGTCCAGTACTGAGAGAGAGCGCTGCAGCTGCAAATCAGGCCCTGGATAAGAGGATGAAGATGGATGGAAGGCTCAGATTGTTATTCTAAGTGTATGACAGCATTATGAAAGGATCCCTACAGAGATAGAGCTTTGTGTTAAAGAGTCAGATCCTTTTTGTTTAACCAGAAACAGTCCTGAAATCACGTCACCAAACCCACCAGACTCCATTTAAATGAACAGTCATGTTAGTGTGTATAGAGGCAGCACGTTGTCACATCTAACTGGTGAATTAAGGGTTCATTTAAACCAAACCAGAGCTGGTGACTGTTGAACCAAGATGGTTTCTGAGAGTTTTATTTTGTTTCAGTTGACTTTAAATGAAGTGTGTTTTATGATGATAAAATGACTGTTTATTTAAATGGAGTCTGGTGGGTTTGGTGACGGTGAGGAAGCAGTAAGTTTGTGCTGAGGCTGTGCAATTTTAATATTACTGATTTATGTTATATATTCCTAAACATGAAAACATGAAATGGTGTTAATAATGAATAAGTAAAAATATATTTTAAAAAACACAACTCCTAAAAATGTATTTTATTTGTAATGATTTGTAATAATAATAATAATAACAATAATAATAATAATCAGTTTTATCATTATTATTATTATCGTATTTTATTTTGAAAGTTTGTGAATTGTACCTCTAACCTCATCTGTTTTTCAGCCAAACAGGAGCGTCCTCCCGAAGCTGTATCCAATCAGATTTGACGGAGCGCTATTTGAAAGCTGCAGGTCTCCATGTTGTTTACCTGCAGAAATCGGTGTCCACGGATCTCGTCGGTAACTCGTGTCGGTCTGAGCTGAACATAAATCACCGTGTCGTTTCTTTAAGTCACGGTTCGGTCTCGTGTCTGTTGACGGTAAACATGACGTCTGTGGCGGAAGCTCGTGCTGCGGTGAGTAAACTGTAAGCTAGCTCAGTTAGCATGGTTAGCTAACATGAGCTGTGTGTGCTCCCTGCTCGGCTCGTTGTTCTCCTGTGTTGTTCTCATGTTTGTTAGCTGACTTTTTCCAGCAGGAAACATTCGTGGAGTTTGTGCCGAGTGTCTGACTTTAGTGTCCGTGTGTGTTTCAGCGGCTCCCGGCCGCAGACAACCCGCTGAAGATGGTTAAAGCCACCGCAGGTGTGAGGAGAGCTGCTCTCGGAGAGATTACCAACCGTCCTGGAGCAGCAGTCAACACCAAGGTAACATGATGATGGAGGAACATCACTGTGTGCTTCAACAGCTGCTCTGCATGTGCTCTTATTACTCCTTCAGCTGTGGTTCATGTTGTTTCACTTGTTCTCAGAGCTGTGAATCACATCAGCTCAGTTTCCTCTCAACATGAATCATTAATGACACACTTAAAGGTTTTAATGTCGGCTCACATTTCAGTTTATAGCTCACTGATGTTTTACTCTCTGACACCTACAGCCTCTCATCTGAGGGCAGGACAGGTTGATTCACTTTACAGCAGGGATCAGCAGCCTCTGATATTACAAGAGACATTTTTGGCCAAAAAAAAAAAAAAAAAAATCTGTCTGGAGCTGCAAAACATATTTGAGCCTTATAATGAAGGTAACGCTGCCCAACAAATAAAATTATCCTGTCAACATTACTGATAGGTCTAAAGGTGCATTCATTAATATGTTTAACCACAAGGTGTCTACTCTGCAGCTGGATTTATTTTTTTTTTTCTTCAAGAGATTTTATTTAGTTTTCAATTTTGATAACAAAAGATGACACAACAACTGAAACCGAACAGGCAGACTTTTAAAACTTTCTCCATGCCACTGGTTGACAGAAGGAGCTCTGGGTTTAATTCACTGAAATAAAATGCATCTTGTCTCCAACAGGAGAAGTTTGTTCAAGAGTTTTTGCTGGACGCTCGTTAAAGAGCCGCTCACCTGGAAGATTCAACACAAACAGACAAGGATCCGTTTGGATTTAGTTATCAAAGATTTAAGTTCCTGTGAAGTTAGATATTTTTGAATATATTGTTACTTTAACTTTGCGGTGTGGCGTGAAGGCAAACAAATCAGTCCACTCCACCCACTGTTTAGTTTACTGTTTCTCTGAGACACATCCCTTTGGATGTAGAATCCGTAGGCAGAATCAAGACGACCTCCTTCTATTGAGGTTGGTCTCAGTTTAAAGGAAAAGGTGTCAGGCTGCAGACGTATGATGCACATTTTAACTGACAAATGTGAAAATATTTTCTGTACTCATTGTATAAGCTACACAATTTTTACAGTCGGACTATAGTTCTACAACAGCGACAACTCAGAACCTCATTTCTGAATCAATCTGCATTAAACTTGTTTCCTCAGAGGACCGGAGCGACCAAAGCCAAACCATCTTGTGCCCAGAAAGTGAAACCTGTGGTGCCTCCATCAGTCCAGGTCGCAGCACCTGCAGATCCCCTCCCCCCAGTGTCAGAGGAGTCAGCTGACGTGTCCATGAAGGAGGAGGAGGAGGAGGAGCTGTGCCAGGCGTTCTCTGAGGTGCTGCTCACTGTGCAGGACGTGGACGAGCAGGACTCAGACCTGCCGCAGCTCTGCTCAGAATACGTCAAAGATATCTACAAATATCTGCACGTCCTGGAGGTAATTTATTCCCTCCATCAGCCCAACTCTCTGCCCCCACCCTGCACTGCTCTGTGTGACATCAACGTCTGTCTCCTCAGGCGCAGCAGACTGTGCGAGCCAACTACATGCAGGGTTATGAGATCACTGAACGCATGCGAGCTCTTCTGGTGGACTGGCTGGTCCAGGTTCACTCCAGGTTCCAGCTGCTGCAGGAGACTCTGTACCTCACAGTGGCCATCCTGGATCGTTTCCTCCAGGTAACGACCGTCTCAACGCTCTTTTCTCTCTCTGTGTTTGTGAGCTGTGTGAAAACGTTTCCCCGCCGTGCTGCAGGTCCAGCCGGTCTCTCGCAGGAAGCTGCAGCTGGTTGGTGTGACCGCCATGCTGGTGGCCTGTAAATATGAAGAGATGTACGCTCCAGAGGTCGGAGACTTCGCCTACATCACAGACAACGCTTTCACAAAGTCTCAGATTCTGGAGATGGAGCAGCTGGTTCTGAGGACGCTCAACTTTCAGCTGGGACGTCCTCTTCCACTACACTTCCTGAGACGAGCCTCCAAGGTGGCGAATGTGAGTTCAGCCATGAATTTACCACGATATATAATTTAATGATCAAGGATGTGGAGCTCCATCAGTTCTCAGTGTGACCTGGTTACATGAACAGCTGCAGGTTTTCTTATCCTGCAGTATTAAGCTGATCAGTCTTTAGCTTGAACTTTAAATATGTAGACTTCAGTTGCCGTGAACAGACTGTGTGCAGACAGCAGGTTTAAACACCATTCTTTGACTAGAAGAGATTAGTAAAATGTGTGAAGTGTCCACCAGAGTTGTCAGTGGCCTCCATGTTGTCTGTGTCTCAGTCTGACGTAGAGAAACACACGCTGGCCAAGTATCTGATGGAGCTGACCCTCCTCGACTACGACATGGTGCACTATCGACCCTCTGAGGTCGCTGCTGCTGCGCTGTGTCTCTCCCAGCTGCTGGTCGACGGGCTGCCGTGGGTGAGTTTGCTGGAGTTAAACAAACATGTAGACTTAACGTGTTCAGTGTGTAATGTTTCTCTTTGCTGCTCTTTAATTGGCCGTCTCGTCTCAGTCTCCCACTCAGCAGCACTACTCCACTTACGACGTGGCCCACCTGAAGCCCATCATGCAGCACATCGCCAAAAATGTGGTGACTGTAAACGGGGGGAAGACAAAGTTCCAGGTGAGTCGACGGACAGGAAACATGTTAAGATGTTGTGTTGAGCGCAAACTAAAGTGAGCTTGTTCCTCTGCAGGCCGTCAGGAACAAGTACTCGAGCAGCAAGCTGATGAAGATCAGCCTCATCCCTCAGCTGAAGTCGTCCATCATCACCAACATGGCGGCTCCTCTGCTCAACAATCCTTGAAGTCAGCTTTAAATTTTATCAGTGGACATTTCACTCGCACTTTATTTTAGATTGATCTCAATCTGTGGAGAAACTTCTAGTTTTTAATAAAACGTTTTTAATTTTTCATCCAAGCTTCATGGTTTGTTCAGAGATTTAACCACTTTCGCCTCTTTATATCTGAGGTTTCACTAAAAGTTTGTGGTTCACCAGATTTTTCTTCACCGTGGCAATCGCGCCACAACTTCCAGTCAGAAGTTTGAACCGAACCAACTTCATTTTTCTCTTGTAGAGTGTTTTGTTGTCTGCGTATGATCTGGTTTATTTGAGCTTTAGTTTACCTCCTGGGTGAAGGAAGTGCCTTATCTGTGTGATTTTAGTAACTGATGAAAATCTACGTCAGTCATCTTTGTTCTCGGGTCATGTGTTCATATTTTGTGCATAATTTGAACCTTCATGTTGTGGCATACATGGAATTCATGGATCTTGGACTTTGTCAGATTTTTCTACTGTTTCATAAAGTTAATAAAATGTTTTAGACAGCACTGTGTGTAATTTGGCAAATTCTTTAAACATCTGGTTTGATTCGTAGTAACGAACAGTGTCCGACATTCTGCAGCCAAAGTCTGAGATTTGGGATTTAGTTGCACCAGAATGTGTCAATCACAAGTTTGTATTTACAAACAGCTAAAAAACTAACTTGGGTTCTGATGGCTCAGGGGTCAGCAACCATTACTATCAAAGGAGCCATTGTAGTTACCGAAACATTAAACTTTAATTTACAGTGC